TATATATATATATATATATATATATATATATATATATATATATATATATATATATATATATATATATATATATATATATATATATATATATATATATATATATATATATATATATATATATATATATATATATATATATATACATATATATACATACATATACATACACAGAATAACCCTAAGGTTAAACTTAATTGAAAATGGTAGGATTTGCCCAATACAAATATATAATCATTTTTATATTAGTATTAGTCAAAAGGGATTGTCCATTAATGATGTGACACTACTAGGTTTGTAAGTCTGTGACATTTTAATGTTAGAAATTGAGCTTTAATTGTTATTTCGCATTTTAGAAACTGGCTTTTTTGTATGTGATAATAGAATTTATGTACTCTTTGTTGCTAGAGCTCAGTCAATATATTTTTAAAAATTGATTAGTTTAAAGAAATTACATTGCAATTTTAGGGGGCTGGGGTTATTTCCACCACCCTCACCCTCACCTGTCAGGTGAGCCATGGTACACCCCGAATGTTTACAATAGTAGAGCTGCTTCGAATAAGTGACGGCTATTGTCGCTTTCACTGGGCAGGGTGGGGTGGGTGGGGGATGGGGGAGTGGAGAGGCAGTGGGGTGTGCTAGTGTCAAATTCACAAATTATGAATTGTTGATAAGTAGCAAATAAAACAACTAGATAGCTGCGTATGCTATGTCGCAGGTCAGCTCTTTATTATTATAACAATAATTAATAAATAGTACCCTAAATAGTAAATAATAAATAGTCAGTACGGTAAAACCTAGGGTTAGGGTTAGGGGAATGAATAAATGAATATGTCTTTAAATATGTGAATATTTTTGGATATTAAAAAAAATATTATATATAATTCAATAATAGATCACCATTTATGGTTAAATCAATTTAAAAATCCTGAAATTAATTTTTATCAACTCTGTTCGAGATAGTAAATGTGCAATAAAAAACAGCAGCCATCAGAGAATATTATTTAGAGTAGCTTCCCTTTCATTTCTATTCGTATGAAAATGTATTTAAATATGATTGTCTTGTTGCATAGGCCTACAAAGCATTTTTTTTTAAATTCTGCCCTTTAAAAACTGAATTTACTAACAAACAACATCATTAATTTTAGAAGTATTGTAAGATGCAACTTGTATCCATGTATAAAATCATGTTTTTTTGTACTAATGTTTCTTTCATCATTACTAAACAGTTTGAGTTTTTTCTTATTGTTTGAATGTTCGCTATTTTCATTTCAGGTTTTCTTTTCTTTAATTAGTGATTCTTTCATAAATTATGACAGTTTTTTTTTACTTTTCTTTACCTTAATTGAACCCCAACCTTGTAAAGCATCATCTAAAAAATATCAGCCACTCCACCCCTTAAGTCCATGTGTCATTATCCTTAGTCTCCACTTTTCAGACACATTTGGGTTATCCTTTGTCAATAACAAACACCCAAATGAGCGATATGGGGCTGTCCATTAATGATATGACATATGACTTGCTACGGAGTGAGTGAATATTTGTGAGGTCAACTTAGGCAGCTACACAAATTATGACGTGTTAGGTCTAATGAAAGGAGATGAACGGGGAAAAATACCTAGGTGATTGATGGAGAACCTCTATAATGCTTTGTTCAATCAAAATAACGATAAATAAGCATTAGTATACGTATACCTTGCTCAAAATGAACCATCACAAAAGTTGCAAGCCTGCTAGTTTAAGACATTTGGCAAAACGGCCTCAACTCATTATCGCCGTCAAAAAGGCTTGCCACCAAATGCCTGCCAACGAATGTGCTGTGTCTAATGCGGGGCGTTAGGAATACGGCCATAAGCATGGGTCTGATGAGCCAAACGGGGCCACATTAGAGCACAAGTAGGCTATTGCGGTTTGTAAGATGCCGTAAATACTTTAATTCAATTTCGCAAAACTGCGCAAAAATTTAGTAATGTATACCTTTTTTTGAGGAAATGTTTTTTCCTTGGACTTAAATTACAATATCATGTTGACTGTTTGACCTAATACACAGCTCCTAATTATTGAATGTCAATTTTAATGTAACAAAATTCAGAATTATAATTTACTTAATATAAGTGTCATCTTATCGTTAATTGTGCTTTTTATAAAGCTCAGAGCAGCTTCAAAATTAGACCACCATCCTGTTGTTACCAAGCTTCTTTTGGAGCTTAATGGGTAGACTAGTTCTATACGGGGGGGAGCTTAATACATTTTTTTAAGGGCCGAAGGTCTCAAGACAGCAAGCTTGCAGAAAAAACCACGTATGTTTAAATGGACGAGGGATAGATGTGTGAGGGGCTGTTTAATTGAACACCAACATAAGTAATCAAATTAAACATCGTATAAGGGTCAAAACAGCAGTGCTTGTTTTGTTGTTTCTATAAGATTAGCCCAACGGTCGGCGGTACCGGTACATGACGTCACGCGCGAGTGTTAACTCTGTGAATATGTGCTAAGTGGGGGATGAAAAGGTGGGGTTCAAGAAATGGGACAACATACTTTTTACATTTCTTGACCCTTCTTAATGAGAAAATGGATCACCAATGAATGACACGTCATACTTCTACAGCTGTTCTTTCTCCCAAAACCATCCCCAGTTTTCACAAAAAAAAAACCTGACCCGTCTCAAAATCACATCGCTGAGTTCTTCTCAACCTCTCCCCACCACGAATCACAATTTCTATCTGAAACAATATGTTCATCATTATATTTATTCTGTAATAGTGCAATCTGTCATAACTATTTTAACCCCATAAGAGCGACCTCCCAACAACTGTTGTGGTCTTGGATGCACACTAATAAAGTATTAAGTACTATGAATGAAAAGGTCTATTAGTCAATCCTTTCAATTATATTGGAAAAAAAACAACACTTTAGGCCTACAGGCATATATTAAAACAATACAAAACAACCATATTAAACCACAAAATCAACACAATAGACAGTTTTTCAAGGGAAATTACTCTATTATATATTATGCTTGTATTGAAATTATATAAATATTTACTCATTGTTGTCTTAAATAGGGTAGTTTAAAGTTTATTCCAGGATATTTTTGACTGGTTTGGTCATGGATTGTGATTTGTTATTCAATTAGGCCTATCTGTTATATTATCATTATGTAAAATATGTTATAAATATGGCCAAATGAAAGAAATATCCATTAGTTACCTCCACCTCACATTGTGAAATTACTAGTTGATCTAGAATATTAACTACTTTACTACTAGATCTACTAAGTACTAACTACTATGAGTATGAGGCTTCGTTGGAATTTTAATACTGTAAAACCAAAAACTGTAAAATATTAAATAAAATGGTAATCTATCGTTTTGGGTACGTAAAATCGCCCGCGGCTATTAATGTACGAAAACGTTACCTCATTGTCAAGGCTGTAATAGAAGTATATTGTGATATGTTTGTGTCAAATATTATAGATAAATGAATAATGAACCTAAATCAATGGCTAAATATATCAATATAGGCCAGAAATTGACTTTAAACAGCAGTGTCTGCAAGCAAGATTTGCTATATAAACAGCAGCCATTTGTAAAATAGAGTGACTTCCGCCTGAATCTCGGCTATAAGTCTATAAAAATAAAACTAACAAGATGTCTGCTATAGTAAATGAGTATGGTTGCATCATTTATTACTGAAAAGTTTTAATTCAATTGTTTAAAAACTGGTACATAAATGAAACAAGGAAATATTTTGGTATTTTTCAAAACATAAATCCTCCTCAAAATGTGAAATAATTATTAAAATGTAAGGAGTCACCTGTTTTTCACACTACTAGTCGCGGGCGATTTTACGTACCTAAAACGATAGATTACCAATAAAATAAGGTTTTACCGTAAAATGCGTATAGTAAATTACAATTAGTAGTAGGCCTATCAACTGAAAAATAGATATTTATTATTATTAGGCCTATTTATTATCTAGATCCAGTTTCTAGATTCTAGTAGGGCCTATATCTAGGCATATTTCGTAAAATAAAACAAAAACCGTGAAAACGGGAACCGCCCACCTCAGCCACCTGTTGCTTCTACGGTGTGTTTATATATTGTTAGTGGTTTCTTTCCTTCGAATTTTTATGTTCTGAGAAAAATGTTAATTTTTTTTTTTACGTGAAACCGTTCTCTTAAAAAAATAGTCCGTAACAATTAAGAGCAAACGTTCAATAAGCTTCACTGCTGCCAGAGCCGAAATCCTCTGGAATTTTAGAGGGGAGGGGGATGACAGTTGGTGGGTGGGGTGAGGTAAAGGATAACTGTGTATTTAAATCTATGGTGGCTTTGGGGTGCCAAACCCTAAGGAAAGGATTACTGGATCTCTGACTGGAGTCATTCAAGAGGAGGTTTTAACTGCAGGGGGGGGGCGGACACTGGTAAAAGTATATATTTTCTATTTATATTATTTTATTCGGGGAGGGGGCGGACACTGGTAAAAGTTTATATTTTCTATTTATATTATTTTATTCGGGGGGGGGGGGGGGTGGTAGACTTTCTTTGGGGAACAGCGTTGCCTGGCGGTAAAGCGCTAGACTGCTAACCCGAAAACTTCGAGTTCGAATTCGAGTTCAAGTCAGTAGAACGCCCCAGAGTCCACAAAGCTCTAATGTGTACTTAATTCACGCAAAGGCGGCTGGTCATTTGCTGACCACATTCCTCCATAAGCCGAGGTCATAAAAAACAGATGGACTCTTCTTCATTTGCCCCAGGTTCGAAAAGGGATCTACCTTTACCTATCGCCGATTGTGCGTTTTATCGATTTTTCACATTGTGACTTAAAATTAAAAGTTGTGGAACATTTTGTTTAATTTTGTATTGCTAAAGACATAAGCAAAAGACTGTCAGAATCTGACACATAATAGGCTGTCGCCGAGGGGTCCTCTACCTCATTATTACATAAGATGATTGGCATACACTCAAGGCTTTTAGCGTCGACGTATCCTGATAATAGTGGTGGATGAGAGGGGTAAAAAGTGGCTTCAAGTCTGGCCTAACTTTATGAGTGAGGTTTTGCCCCATCTGACTCCGCGCAGTTTTCCGAAGGAACTTCCCAATGTGAAGAATTGGTTCAACTACCAAGCGCTAGCCTATATATTAGAGATGTGCATGATCCCTACATACATGTGTAATATTCCCCCATAGGCAAAATCGTGTCAGAGTGAAATACTTCACATTGTTCTTTGACTATTATTATTTTTAGCACGTTACATTCTACAAGTTTTAGCTAGTCTACATGTTTTTAAAAACATTTTTTTTTTGCAATAAAAACAAAAGCATCAACATAATAGTTGTTTTTTTTTTTTACTTAGATTTGACATTAAATAAATGTAGGCCTACTTATTGGTTGATTTTGAACTATTTTTGAACTGAATTTATTATTTATTTGTCTTGACTAGTTTTTAGGCTTAGGCTTATTGTTTATGGCGTGCTTTAAACTTTTAGAGTACGCACGGTCTTTAGTAAGATTTATTAGCGCGGTTAATGTAACCGTAATCTAAAAAGTTGTAGACCCTAATCTAATGGCCTAACGTCATCCAGCATCATTGGAGTTCATTTAAAAGTAACATTTTATTCCTTTGTAGAGTTTATATTGGACATCATCAAACAAGACGGATTGATGGCGGCAGAAAATGGTAATAATATTAATCTTCGGAGATGCGGAAACATTGGAGATGATGAAGAAGATAGTTTATCGATCGTCGATGTCTTGAATGAGCAAGCTCGATTAGAAGCAGAAGCAGATGCTGTGTTAGGTGGAAGTGATGAAAAAAATTGCACATATCCTAAAGTAAGTTGAAACTAGAGTTATAGATCTCTAGATCTAGAGTGTAGTGGAAATTTTTATGAAAATGTAATAATTTAAGCATAATCTCAATTCTCAATAAATATTATTTTGGCAGATTCTAGCCGGAATAAGATACGCATGCGATACGCGTGCGCAATGGAGAGAAACTACGACTTGCCTTCGCGGCGATGTTTTCGATAGTACTGCGCATGCGTGTGTTTACAACCGCAGAACCCTAACACCAACCCTAATCCTATCCCTAATCCTAACCCTATCCCTACCCCTAACCCTCATTCTAGCCCTAACCCTAGCCTTAGGTCACTGCGCATGCGCAGAACTATCTTTTGCCGACTAAGTGGAGACGTTGGGGAGAAAAATCTTCTTCCGACTAGTCACTTCGTATTATTTTAGGGCCATGGCCTAGATCTAGGCAAGCGTATGATGTAGATCTAGAGTGAAGTTCCACAACCGGTCACACATAGCGAACTCCCGACTTTCATCGGGCGCTATTTTGTAACTGTTTAACACAGAAACAAACCCAAAGTACTATATTATTCCTCTGCCTTTCTACTCTTAATATGTATCAATCATTTTATATTCCTACGCATTGAATTTGAGATATTCATGTTTTAGTGACGTGCTACTTGCGATATTTTTTTCCCCTCTTTTTTTTTTCCTGCGGACACCTGAACCAGCTAGCGTAACGATCGTATTTTATACGTTTTAATCCTAGTTTAATAAATAAAATAAATATTTTACACTTTTAAACGTGTTGTTGATTGTATTATTAATTAATAGATTTCAAAACCAAATTAAAAACATGTTAATTAAATTAATTAACGACATTAACCATTAATGTCCCATTCATTCTACCAAAACTCCACCCATGACGGCCCAATGTAAGGAGCATAACTCTGTATGATCAAGTGAATAGTTTCACAAAATATTTGTTTTTGTCTAAATGAAATTGAAAATTAAGATAAAAACTACTGCTTAATGTTGGGAATAAACCTGGCTTTCCAACAGTATTAAATAGAATATATTATATTCGGTAAAAGTACAGTAAAAAAATTAAAAATGTCGGAGAAAATTCAAAACAGGTCATTTTCGGTAGTCAACTTTATTTATTTTTGTCTAAACAACTAATCATCGAATTTAACAGTTAAATATCAATTTGGTTATGTTTAAGATAAATAATTCATAAAATACATGCCTAGATACGTTTAGAGGCATTATTTTATTTTATTTTTAACATTAAATCTACTAAAAAAAAGGACAGATGAGTCTAAAATTTCGAGATCGAAAGAAGCTATTATTTTTTATCTTTCAAAAGCGCCATTGAAATTATAAGACCGGAAAAGGATGGTGAAACTATCCGACTTCCTGTTTAGTTAAAAATTAGGATTTGTAAGCCAAATTTTAATGAAACAAATTTAATTTTTCTATGCGTATTTTAAGCGGGCGGCAGCGGGCGTTACGGGACATTAACGGTGTCGGGCGGCAGCGGGCGTTACGGGACATTAATGGTTAAAAGTCGACCCAGTGATGACTCAAGGAACGCAACTATAATAATCATAACAAAGGGACGTAACAACCACTAACAAGACATAACGTAACATTTGCTTAGATATGCTTGTATGTAGAGACACAAACTAGATTTAGAAGAAGTAGATGATCGAAATAATTTAAAACAACAGAGAAAAATAGAAATTATACAGATTCTAGGCTTAGCTTGAAATATAGAGCATCTAGAACTAGGCTAGTCTAGCTCAAGTCGTTGGTTACGCAGTGATGTGAAACCACCCAAATCGTTACCCAAGCTACGGCCACCACTATTCACCTATCAGGTTGCTTTATTAGCCTTATCTATCATATGTACAGTGTCCCGCACATATTGTAGAAGCTATTTATAGTTAACCTAGTTATAAAAAGCTTTGATTGGTTGGTTTTATTCATCTCATCCGGGACCTAGTGTTTTTCATAGGGGGAACTAGAATCGCCTACGACGTCATACCTCAAAACTTTAAAATTTAAAAACTCGACTTCCAGAAGGAGAAAAACAAAAGAATTTGACCTGGATATAATTAGAAATGGACAGGTTTACAGCAGATATCGGCAGTTTGTATAAAACATAAAAACAAATATTGTACGAAGCGATAAACAGGCGATGGCCGCACCCGTGTTTTAACAGCGCGTGGAACTTTACTCTAGATCTACTAGATCTAGTATGTAGGCACTTTGTTGACAATTTCAAAATGATTTTTTAATTAAAAAAAGTATCAATAATAGCTAGCAGTACTAGCACACTAGTAAACTAAGCCAATTTAGCATATATTAACTTTTTGTGCAAAGTCATTATTAATAGGCTGGCTCGTTGCTTAGATGGCTGGATTGACCTCTGACCCTGAAATGTCACGCGTCGTTTTCTGACGGTTTTTACGTTTATTTTAGGGGTCCTATCCACAACAAATGAAAAAACTGTTAATCTCGCAAATTCTCATCATTTTAATGCAAAATGCTAATAAAATGGATAATATGCCTTAGAATGCCAGTAAAAATCGAGAGATTTGTTGTTGTAAATAATGAGAGGATTTCTAGTGGAGCGCTCTCCGTAAAAACTGAACCGCAGCTAAAACGACCGACCCTCGGGGAAAACGGCCCGACCTCCTCTAAATTAAAATTGAGATATTTACCTTGTATATTTTCATTTTATTGATTCTAGTTTCCAAAATCTTATCCCAAAATGAGGTACCCACACTGACATTTCTATCCCCTATTTTTAGTATCATGATGTCATTGTTAGGCTAGTTACCTCACAGAAACAACTAGTTTTTGTTTTTTGCGGAATGAACTGTTAAGTCTAGTATTTTAATTATAATTCAGTTGTAGCGTGTGCGGAAAAAGTAAAATTATGGACATTATTGTATTAGTAATTTTATTAGTATATTGATTTTTTTCTTCTTTGTGGGCCGACAGTAGCTGGACTGAATTTAATTCGTGACTGGTGGTTAACCTCGTCAACGCTGCGTGGCCTATTCGTTTATATAATTAGTGATGCTCGTTCAGTGGCCTTTTTCAGAGCTAGGCCTAATTACGGGCGATTTTTAGACTTAATTGATCGGCCGTTAGCCTTTATCATTGATGCGTATTTTAAAAAAATGCTCGTTCAGCTGCCTTTTTTTTGGCGCTAAATAATCTGTTTACGGGCATTTTAAGCGTTCATTTATTTATTTTTTAAGCTAGACGTAGATCTAGTTAAAAAAAACTATTTTTTTTATACAGCTGGCTGTCTAGCATGCCTGATATGAGAACTTTAAAAAAAATGACCGAACTTTAAAAAAAATGACCAGATGCAAATTTTTTACTTTGAAATAATTACATTATCAATTAATTTTGATTTAAAACAAGTGTCTTAAGGTTAAAAGGAAACTTAAATTTAAAAAAACTTTGCTATTCACAGTGTACTTAAAGTTCTCTTGTTTTAATGATAAGTCAAGTTATACAATGTTTGCCTGGATAAAGCGAAGATTGATTCGCCTCGACAGAAAACCGCTAAAATAAAAAATATTATATCTACGGCCATATAAATAATCTTTTACACATTTGAATAGATTTCACTAAACTGCTATCAAAATACATGCTGTTAAGTAGAAACATACAATTTTTATTCCCGAAAAAAAAATTGCAGTTAAAATATCTGAAATATAAACTTTTTCTTACATTTATCAATTGCAGCATTAATTTCCTAATGATAATGTTAAAAATCCATTTGAAGCAATCAAATTATAAAAAGAATTGTTCCTTAGCTTATTTTAGAAGTACATACAAACCCAAGTAGATCCCTTCCGCTTTGATTTGCATACTTGCCTCCTTTGCAGAGGCATAAAATATTGTCAAAAATGAATTCTGGAAAAATATTGTACTTGAAGCTTTCAAAGATATTGTCCTATCTATCAATATCAACAAAATCACCAAACATTGTAGGGTTAAAAAGAAAATTATCAATGGCGAAGACCGAATATGCATTTTGCTGTAAAAATCCTGACACATATTCTTAAAATGTTACATCATGTATTTTATGTAACAACCTTATGTTCTTGGTTCTATTATAAGTTTATACTAAGCAAAAGTGTTCTACTATTGGAATGTAATGTCATTTTATCTAGAATTCAGGATTATGGGTTATTGTTGAAATTAGGTAAAATTATTATTTTTCAACTAACAACGCAACCTAAAATTTAGTTAGGCCAACTTATTGAATATTTATCTTTGCTTGTAATAGGGCCCCTTGAAGCGGCAAGCTCTGTATGCATGCAAAACATGCACACCTGAAGGGAATGCCGGCATATGTCTAGCTTGCAGCTATGCTTGTCATGAAGGACATGAACTGTATGAGCTCTACACAAAAAGGTAGTTAACTTATTAGAACAGGCCAGTTTGTTAGTTAGGGCAGACTTGCAGGCAACCCTTGTACCTTTCTTATCTTTGTGTTTTAGATATTTTACATGCGACTGTGGTAATGAAAAGTTTGGTGAAAATAAATGTGCTCTATACAAGGTAGGTCAATAGTTTTGTTCTTTTAAAGACAAATACTTGTCATGATGGCCATATGTTTTACTACTTGACTTTGAATACTTAATGTGCTGACATATTACCTATAGCTTGTCCCTCATTTCTAGCAGAGATGTAACTTTCTATTGGCCCAAAAAAAGGCCAATTGATTTGAAAGACAAGTATGAAGTAGAAATGTGCCTAGAAACATTTTTGAAACAGAAATCACTTGATCTATGTCTTAATTTTTCTAACACCAAAAAATACTGACATAGACCTAACACCAAAAAATACTGACATAGACCTAACACCAACAAATACTGACATAGACCTAACACCAACAAATACTGACATAGACTAACTGTGGTTGCATGATCTATCACACAGGCCTAGATCTAATGGCGTTGATCTTTTTAAAAAAACCTTTAAAAAACAATGAATTTTCTGCTTACGTCGCTGCACAGCACCCACCACCCCCCTGTAAAAAAATAATTTTCGCTTCTTTTTCTTAGGAGGTTGATGTTACATCTCTGCGGCTAGGCTGCGCCTTAAACATAACTTGACCAAAGAGCTTCTTTATAGGATTATCTCTGGCAGAGATGTCACTTTTGCATTTTTACGCAATTCTGCTTTTTCCTTAAAAAACAGCAGAAAGATTTTGCGCTGACCTAGACAGTCTATTTTATATTGATAAAAAGAAAAGTATATTAAAAAATGTACTGTTCTCATTATATTACTTTTACCTAGTGTAAATAACGTGTGTAAACATACTAAGCTGCTGTGTCATTGAAAATGTCCTAAATGTTCTTCTTGTGATAACACAATAAAATCATTGGACTGTTTTGGTAATTACTTTAAAATTATAATCAGCAACTTAAAGGTATTCTAAGACTAAGTTGATGAAGTAGCAGACTTATCTATGTAAAAAACAAAAGAAAAAAAAGTCTGTGTGTGTGTTTGCAGGAAAAGAAAGCTTTGAACTGTAGCAACCATTACAATCAGAACTTCAAGGGAGCTTACTGCTCTTGTCACAGGCCATACCCAGATCCAGAAGATTCAGTAAGTCTTTTTCTAAACTGTTTTTTTAGAAGACCTGATTTTATATTGACATAATCATTTACTGATACTGTTGATAATATGCATTTGTAAGTTAATTTTTGTTGTTGCTGGGAATGTTTTAGTGTATTGTAGAATGTTTTAGTGTTTTGCTGAATGTTTAAGTGTTTTGCTGAATGTTTCAATGTATTGTTGAATATTGAAATTTTCAGATTGAGGATGAAATGATCCAGTGTATTGTTGTATGTTTCAGATTGAGGATGAAATGATCCAGTGTATTGTTGTATGTTTCAGATTGAGGATGAAATGATCCAGTGTATTGTTGTATGTTTCAGATTGAGGATGAAATGATCCAGTGTATTGTTGTATGTTTCAGATTGCGAATGAAATGATCCAGTGTATTGTATGTTTCAGATTGAGGATGAAATGATCCAGTGTATTGTTGTATGTTTCAGATTGAGGATGAAATGACCCAGTGTATTGTTGTATGTTTCAGATTGAGGATGAAATGACCCAGTGTATTGTTGTATGTTTCAGATTGAGGATGAACTGACCCAGTGTATTGTTGTATGTTTCAGATTGAGGATGAAATGACCCAGTGTATTGTTGTATGTTTCAGATTGAGGATGAAATGACCCAGTGTATTGTTGTATGTTTCAGATTGAGGATGAACTGACCCAGTGTATTGTTGTATGTTTCAGATTGAGGATGAAATGATCCAGTGTATTGTTGTATGTTTCAGATTGCGAATGAAATGATCCAGTGTATTGTATGTTTCAGATTGAGGATGAAATGATCCAGTGTATTGTTGTATGTTTCAGATTGAGGATGAACTGACCCAGTGTATTGTTGTATGTTTCAGATTGAGGATGAAATGACCCAGTGTATTGTTGTATGTTTCAGATTGAGGATGAACTGACCCAGTGTATTGTTGTATGTTTCAGATTGAGGATGAACTGACCCAGTGTATTGTTGTATGTTTCAGATTGAGGATGAAATGATCCAGTGTATTGTTGTATGTTTCAGATTGAGGATGAAATGATCCAGTGTATTGTTGTATGTTTCAGATTGAGGATGAACTGACCCAGTGTATTGTTGTATGTTTCAGATTGAGGATGAAATGACCCAGTGTATTGTTGTATGTTTCAGATTGAGGATGAACTGACCCAGTGTATTGTTGTATGTTTCAGATTGAGGATGAACTGACCCAGTGTATTGTTGTATGTTTCAGATTGAGGATGAAATGATCCAGTGTATTTTTGTATGTTTCAGATTGAGGATGAAATGATCCAGTGTATTTTTGTATGTTTCAGATTGAGGATGAAATGATCCAGTGTATTGTCTGTGAGGATTGGCTACATGGGAGAGTAAGTTGATTCAAGTCTGTTGCCATTGGCTGACCACACTAAGCTTACTTAACTCATCTGCTCCTAATCTCAAAACCCTTCCCCAGTCCCTAAGCTAAGGGAGGTAAAACAACTTTACTTTGTCATTTGTTTAATTATTAAAAAGGCACAAAATATACTTATTAAATAAAAAACATTATCTCAAAGGAAATATATAATTTAATTTTTTCTAAAACTAATAGTATTTATAGTTCAAAATGAATTTTGTGATGCAACTAATATACTTATATAACTAATATAAAAATAAAGTTCCCTTTTCAAACCTGACGGTCTTTAGGGCAAGTGAAGTAGAGTTCACTTGTTTCTGTGACCTCGGCATATGAAGAGATAGTGTGGTCAGCACTATGCCCAGCCGCCTTTACTTTCCCTAACGTGAATTAGGTACCCATAAGAGTTGGGTGGACTCAGGGGCGGTCTACTGACTTGAACCCGGATTCAACATTTTTTTATTTTAAATATTTTATTTTTTTATTAACATTATTAGTATTTGTGCAAGGAGCTGGAGAGCCGCATCTTGATATCAAAAGAGCCGCATGCGGCTCGCGAGCCGCAGGTTGCCGACCCCTGGTCTAATCTAATGCTATTTGTCCTTTGTCTAATCTTATGCTACCCATGCTATTTGTCCTTTGTCTAATCTAATGCTACCCATGCTATTTGTCCTTTGTCTAATCTAATGCTATTTGTCCTTTGTCTAATCTAATGCTACCCATGCTATTTGTCCTGTCTAATCTAATGCTACCCATGCTATTTGTCCTTTGTCTAATCTAATGCTATTTGTCCTTTGTCTAATCTAATGCTACCCATGCTATTTGTCCTGTCTAATCTAATGCTATTTGTCCTTTGTCTAATCTAATGCTACCCATGCTATTTGTCCATTGTCTAATCTAATGCTATTTGTCCTGTCTAATCTAATGCTACCCATGCTATTTGTCCTTTGTCTAATCTAATGCTATTTGTCCTTTGTCTAATCTAATGCTACCCATGCTATTTGTCCTGTCTAATCTAATGCTATTTGTCCTTTGTCTAATCTAATGCTACCCATGCTATTTGTCCATTGTCTAATCTAATGCTATTTGTCCTGTCTAATCTAATGCTACCCATGCTATTTGTCCTTTGTCTAATCTAATGCTACCCATGCTATTTGTCCATTGTCTAATCTAATGCTACCCATGCTATTTGTCCATTGTCTAATATAATGCTATTTGTCCTTTGTTTAATCTAATGCTATTTGTCCTTTGTCTAATCTAATGCTACCCATGCTATTTGTCCTGTCTAATCTAATGCTACCCATGCTATTTGTCCTTTGTCTAATCTAATGCTATTTGTCCTTTGTCTAATCATTGCTATTTGTCCTTTGTCTAATCTAATGCTACCCATGCTATTTGTCCTTTGTCTAATCTAATGCTATTTGTCCTTTGTCTAATCTAATGCTATCCATGCTATTTGTACATTGTCTAATCTAATGCTATTTGTCCTCTGTCTAATTGTCATTTGTCTAATCTAATGCTACCCATGCTATGTCTTCTATGTCTAATCTAATGCTAGCCATGATATTTGTCCTCTGTCTAATCTAATGCTACCCATGCTATGTCTTCTATGTCTAATTTAATGCTATTTGTCATTTGTCTAATCTAAGGCTACCCATGCTATTTGTTTTTTGTCAAGCGCTTACACTTGAGTCTGAATTGTACTCATATATTGTTGATTTGTTCCACTAAAGTATTGTTGAATTGTTCCACTAAAGTTTTGTTGAATTGTTCCACTAAAGTATTGTTGAATTGTTCCACTAAAGTATTGTTGAATTGTTCCACTAAAGTATTGTTGAATTGTTCCACTAAAGTATTGTTGAATTGTTCCACTAAAGTATTGTTGAATTGTTCTATCTTTGCAGCACTTGAAGACATCTGTTCCTGAGGAGTTTGATGAGATGATTTGTCCTGATTGTATGTCCAAGTATTCTTTTCTCTGGGCATATACATTAACAGGTTTGTATGTCCATGTATTCTTTTCTCTGGGCATATACATTAACAGGTTTGTATGTCCAAGTATTCTTTTCTCTGGGCATATACGTTAACAGGTTTGTATGTCCAAGTATTCTTTTCTCTGGGCATATACGTTAACAGGTTTGTATGTCCAAGTATTCTTTTCTCTGGGCCTATACGTTAACAGGTTTGTATGTCCATGTATTCCTTTCTCTGGGCCTATACCTTAATAGGTTTGTATGTCCAAGTATTCTTGAATATTAAGTATGATTGAACCTTCTCTCCCCTCATGTAGATGAAGATGCTCCTGTTGACATCGAGGATGAGCCTGTACAGTCAGCTGGAGTCAAGAGAAAACACACAGAATCATCTGAGGTTTGTTTCACAAAGCTTTTCAATCTAAGACTTGAGCTGTAATGTGATGGGCCATATGACTAAATCTGTTATTTGTAATGTGTACTCAGTGTTATTTGACATAATGATTCTTGCAGGGAGAAGAGGCAAAAAGGCTCAAGTTAATGGCCAGTTGCAAGCATGAGACTAGTCAAAGTAGCAAGCATCAAAAAACTGATGAATGTTTAGTAAAAGCTGGAGAAAAATATACTTTGGATATTCCAGATCATGCAACATTTTGGCAGCAAGGCTGGAGGAGCAAGTTGTGTCAGTGTCAGCAATGCATGGTAAGTGTCTAGCTCTGTGATTGGTTCCATCTGTCTAGCTCTGTGATTGGTTCCATCTGTCTAGCTCTGTGATTGGTTCCATCTGTCTAGCTCTGTGATTGGTTCCATCTGTCTAGCTCTGTGATTGGTTCCATCTGTCTAGCTCTGTGATTGGTTCCATCTGTCTAGCTCTGTGATTGGTTCCATCTGTCTAGCTCTGTGATTGGTTCCATCTGTCTAGCTCTGTGATTGGTTCCATCTGTCTAGCTCTGTGATTGGTTCCATCTGTCTAGCTCTGTGATTGGTTCCATCCGTCTAGCTCTGTGATTGGTTCCATCTGTCTAGCTCTGTGATTGGTTCCATCTGTCTAGCTCTGTGATTGGTTCCATCCGTCTAGCTCTGTGATTGGTTCCATCTCTCTAGCTCTGTGATTGGTTCCATCTGTCTAGCTCTGTGATTGGTTCCATCCGTCTAGCTCTGTGATTGGTTCCATCTCTCTAGCTCTGTGATTGGTTCCATCTGTCTAGCTCTGTGATTGGTTCCATCTCTCTAGCTCTGTGATTGGTTCCATCTCTCTAGCTCTGTGATTGGTTCCATCTGTCTAGCTCTGATTATTTGCAAGCTAATGTTTAGCTAGTGTTTGTCATGATGGCACAATAATCAGACTCAGTATTGCACAGTTGCTGCCCATGGAAATCTGTGTTGGCAGTGGTAAACTGGTGTTGTTGGAAAGGAGATATTCTTAAAGAATTGCTAATCCTCTGTATGTGCTACCTTACATAACTCATTGTTTGCAGGAAATGTACACAGAAAAATGTCTGGAGTTTCTCATTGACGAGACTGATACAGTGCATGCATATGAAGAAAAGGGAAGAAACTCCGTCTCACCAGAGGAGCCTGAAAGTTCCATGTTGACTGGCATGGACAGAGTCCGACAGATAGAAGTTGTCAGAGGTCAGTCTTTGTGTGATCCTTCCCCAAACCATATACACGGTATGACCACACGTTATCTCCATCCATCCCCCCTTTCTTTGTGTGATCCTCTCCCAAACCACATACACTGTATGACCACACGTTATCTCCATCCATCCCCCCTTTCTTTGTGTGATCCTCCCCCAAACCACATACACTGTATGACCACACGTTATCTCCATCCATCCCCCCTTTCTTTGTGTGATCCTTCCCCAAACCACATACACTGTATGACCACACGTTATCTCCATCCATCCCCCCTTTGTGTGATCTCCCCCAAACCACATACACTGTATGACCACACGTTATCTCCATCCACATCCATCCCCCCTTTCTTTGTGTGATCCTCCCCCAAACCACATACACTGTATGACCACATGTTATCTCCATCCACATCCATCCCCCCTTTCTTTGTGTGATCCTCCCCCAAACCACATACACTGTATGACCACACGTTATCTCCATCCATCCCCCCTTTCTTTGTGTGATCCTCCCCCAAACCACATACACTGTATGACCACACGTTATCTCCATCCATCCCCCCTTCCCCAAACCACATCCACTGTATGACCACACGTTATCTCCATCCATCCCCCCTTCCCCAAACCACATACACTGTATGACCACACGTTATCTCCATCCATCCCCCCTTTCTTTGTGTGATCCTCCCCCAAACCACATACACTGTATGACCACACGTTATCCCCATCCATCCCCCCTTTCTTTGTGTGATCCTCCCCCAAACCACATACACTGTATGACCACACATTATCTCCATCCTCCCCCCTTTCTTTGTGTGATCCTTCCCCAAACCACATACACTGTATGACCACACGTTATCTCCATCCATCCCCCCTTTCTTTGTGTGATCCTTCCCCAAACCACATACACTGTATGACCACACGTTATCTCCATCCATCCCCCCTTTCTTTGTGTGATCCTTCCCCAAACCACATACACTGTATGACCACACGTTATCTCCATCCATCCCCCCTTTCTTTGTGTGATCCTTCCCCAAACCACATACACTGTATGACCACACGTTATCTCCATCCATCCCCCCTTTCTTTGTGTGATCCTTCCCCAAACCACATACACTGTATGACCACACGTTATCTCCATCCATCCCCCCTTTCTTTGTGTGATCCTCCCCCAAACCACATACACTGTATGACCACACGTTATCCCCATCCATCCCCCCTTTCTTTGTGTGATCCTCCCCCAAACCACATACACTGTATGACCACACATTATCTCCATCCATCCCCCCTTTCTTTGTGTGATCCTTCCCCAAACCACATACACTGTATGACCACACGTTATCTCCATCCATCCCCCCTTCCCCAAACCACATACACTGTATGACCACACGTTATCTCCATCCATCCCCCCTTTCTTTGTGTGATCCTTCCCCAAACCACATACACTGTATGACCACACGTTATCTCCATCCATCCCCCCTTTCTTTGTGTGATCCTTCCCCAAACCACATACACTGTATGACCACACGTTATCTCCATCCATCCCCCCTTCCCCAAACCACATCCACTGTATGACCACACGTTATCTCCATCCATCCCCCCTTTCTTTGTGTGATCCTCCCCCAAACCACATACACTGTATGACCACACGTTATCCCCATCCATCCCCCCTTTCTTTGTGTGATCCTCCCCCAAACCACATACACTGTATGACCACACATTATCTCCATCCATCCCCCCTTTCTTTGTGTGATCCTTCCCCAAACCACATACACTGTATGACCACACGTTATCTCCATCCTCCCCCCTTTCTTTGTGTGATCCTTCCCCAAACCACATACACTGTATGACCACACGTTATCTCCATCCATCCCCCCTTTCTTTGTGTGATCCTTCCCCAAACCACATACACTGTATGACCACACGTTATCTCCATCCATCCCCCCTTTCTTTGTGTGATCCTCCCCCAAACCACATACACTGTATGACCACACGTTATCCCCATCCATCCCCCCTTTCTTTGTGTGATCCTCCCCCAAACCACATACACTGTATGACCACACATTATCTCCATCCATCCCCCCTTTCTTTGTGTGATCCTTCCCCAAACCACATACACTGTATGACCACACGTTATCTCCATCCATCCCCCCTTTGTGTGATCCTTCCCCAAACCACATACACTGTATGACCACACGTTATCTCCATCCCCCCTTTCTTTGTGTGATCCTTCCCCAAACCACATACACTGTATGACCACACGTTATCTCCATCCATCCCCCCTTTCTTTGTGTGATCCTTCCCCAAACCACATACACTGTATGACCACACGTTATCTCCATCCATCCCCCCTTTCTTTGTGTGATCCTCCCCCAAACCACATACACTGTATGACCACACGTTATCTCCATCCATCCCCCCTTCCCCAAACCACATACACTGTATGACCACACGTTATCTCCATCCTTTCCCCTTTCTTTGTGTGATCCTCCCCAAACCACATACACTGTATGACCACACGTTATCTCCATCCATCCCCCCTTTCTTTGTGTGATCCTTCCCCAAACCACATACACTGTATGACCACACGTTATCTCCACCCATCCCCCCTTTCTAGCATTTAAGAAATTAGAATACATGTCAATCATTTAAGCAAGTTCTCAATCTAGTTTTCATATCCAGGCATTATGGATTTTAAACAAGAGCTGCAAGAATTTCTAACAAGTTTTGCTCAGGAGAGGAAGGTAAGTAGCTCAAGTTTCCTACCCTGTGCTCAGTCACTCTCTTGTGTGGTGTAAATAAAGGATAGATAGTAACCATCTTTATTATTCTTAATATCATTTTGTAAAACAACTTGTTTCAATAATAACTGAAGTAAACAGTTTGAGTTAGATTTTATTTGGGAAAAATGTGAGTTATTTCTGACAAATTTTCCATGTGCTCCCCAAGACAGAAAACTAGCCGACAGCATTTGTAAGGGGACATGTACTTAATCTACATTGGTTGGAATGTTATCAGGAGATTGCAATGGTGTGATAGTATGTGTGTTGTAGAATGATTTCTATTATTAAAGGATAGTGACAGATTGTGATGAGGTACGTAAGGATGTAACATTTTAAAAAGAAGAACCCTTGTTGCTGGGGGAACTAAGTTAGAGCAGTTTGTTGTGCTAGGGTGTTGCTGGGGGAACTAAGTTAGAGCAGTTTGTTGCTGGGGGAACTAAGTTAGAGCAGTTTGTTGTGCTAGGGTGTTGCTGGGGGAACTAAGTTAGAGCAGTTTGTTGCTGGGGGAACTAAGTTAGAGCAGTTTGTTGTGCTAGGGTGTTGCTGGGGGAACTAAGTTAGAGCAGTTTGTTGCTGGGGGAACTAAGTTAGAGCAGTTTGTTGTGCTAGGGTGTTGCTGGGGGAACTAAGTTAGAGCAGTTTGTTGCTGGGGGAACTAAGTTAGAGCAGTTTGTTGTGCTAGGGTGTTGCTGGGGGAACTAAGTTAGAGCAGTTTGTTGCTGGGGGAACTAAGTTAGAGCAGTTTGTTGCTGGGGGAACTAAGTTAGAGCAGTTTGTTGCTGGGGGAACTAAGTTAGAGCAGTTTGTTGCTGGGGGAACTAAGTTAGAGCAGTTTGTTGCTGGGGGAACTAAGTTAGAGCAGTTTGTTGTGCTAGGGTGTTGCTGGGGGAACTAAGTTAGAGCAGTTTGTTGCTGGGGGAACTAAGTTAGAGCAGTTTGTTGCTGGGGGAACTAAGTTAGAGCAGTTTGTTGCTGGGGGAACTAAGTTAGAGCAGTTTGTTGCTGGGGGAACTAAGTTAGAGCAGTTTGTTGCTGGGGGAACTAAGTTAGAGCAGTTTGTTGCTGGGGGAACTAAGTTAGAGCAGTTTGTTGTGCTAGGGTGTTGCTGGGGGAACTAAGTTAGAGCAGTTTGTTGCTGGGGGAACTAAGTTAGAGCAGTTTGTTGTGCTAGGGTGTTGCTGGGGGAACTAAGTTAGAGCAGTTTGTTGCTGGGGGAACTAAGTTAGAGCAGTTTGTTGCTGGGGGAACTAAGTTAGAGCAGTTTGTTGTGCTAGGGTGTTGAGATATTCGTCCTGAATCTAGTCAAGTCATACTTAAGTTATATAGCTCAATCATCCTTTAGTTATGTCAAGTATTGCCATCGATATGTTGATTTAATTTCAGCCATAATTAAAACTAAGAAACAGCAATGGACTTTGTTACCTCTGCGGTTCATGCGCTGTACAGTATTGTTGACCTTGTACCTCATTCTAACTTCGTAACATCCTCTTAAAAAAAGTTTTGAAAGCACGAAAAAGCATAAGTTTCATTTAACTTAAAAAAAAAAAAAGTATATCTACAACTGTTTGTAAATATACTACTCTTGTATTGTGTAAATAAATCAAACAACTAATTATAAGTTGTGTTTTCCCATGCCTTACCAGTCTTCCCTGCAGCTACCATTTTCATTTCTTTTGTTTACATTTGAAACAGCTTGGGTATCTAGCTTTGTTTGGTCACCTTCTGTTCAATCTCACCCAATACTCTATTTGTTTATCTTACTTTCTGCATCAACTTCACTGCAGCTACCATTTTTATCCATCTTATGTCAACATATTTTTGTACTACTTTTGGGATTTAATTTGGAAAGAAAGTTTGAATTAGGATCAATGTGTAGTTATTTCTCCCAGTTTTTATTGTCAGCCCACAGGTCTAACTATACCCCCATTTGATGGTGGCCAACCTTATTCTCCCATTTGCAGGTTGTTACAGAAGCAGATATCAGAGAATTTTTCCAGCGAATGAAGAGCCGCAGAAGAGAACAGATGATTTTCCCTCAAAATAACTGCAGATAAAATCCCTGTAAACTCTCAGTCAAAAACTAATTTTTATAGCCATCTAATTATACAATGTCAGAATAAAGCAGTAAACATCAGCCATCTTGTATGTCTCTTCTATTCCTGTAGTAACCACAAGTGTTGCTTAACCACTCATGATGGTCTCTGTATTTATATCTGTACAAGATATTTACAGCCATTCTACTGGGCATGTTAAACTTACTGTCAGCATTGCTGTCAACATCAAACAAGAAAAGAAATTCATTTGTGTATCAAATAATTTATTCAAGTAAAACCAGTAGTGTAATTAAGAGCAAAAAGTGTGGTTAAAGAAGCTCTTTCACGCAATACCATGTGTGCTGCGCAACTCAAATCTATTGCTTCAGACAAAAATAGCACTAATGTAGACCAACCTGCAAGTCAGGTGGAACAAGCTGACTCACACAATCTTTCAACAACAGAATGCAGATGGAGAGAGAAAAGTGAGACATCCAATGGAAACCAGAGTTTACCATTTCTACTATTTCAGTCTAACCTACCTAACTAATTTAATAATGTGACAACAGAGCACACCAACCAGAGTGGCCCCCCCCCCCTCCCCTTTGTAGCCCACATATCCTTAGTGAAACTGATCTAGACAAGTTTTCTTGTAAGCCCACATATCCTTAGTGAAACTGATCTAGACAAGTTTTCCTGTAAGCCCACATATCCTTAGTGAAACTGATCTAGACAAGTTTTCTTGTAAGCCCACATATCCTTAGTGAAACTGATCTAGACAAGTTTTCTTGTAAGCCCACATATCCTTAGTGAAACTGATCTAGACAAGTTTTCTTGTAAGCCCACATATCCTTAGTGAAACTGATCTAGACAAGTTTTCCTGTAAGCCCACATATCCTTAGTGAAACTGATCTAGACAAGTTTTCTTGTAAGCCCACATATCCTTAGTGAAACTGATCTAGACAAGTTTTCTTGTAAGCCCACATATCCTTAGTGAAACTGATCTATACAAGTTTTCTTGTAAGCCCACATATCCTTAGTGAAACTGATCTAGACAAGTTTTCTTGTAAGCCCACATATCCTTAGTGAAACTGATCTAGACAAGTTTTCCTGTAAGCCCACATATCCTTAGTGAAACTGATCTAGACAAGTTTTCTTGTAAGCCCACATATCCTTAGTGAAACTGATCTAGACAAGTTTTCTTGTAAGCCCACATATCCTTAGTGAAACTGATCTATACAAGTTTTCTTGTAAGCCCACATATCCTTAGTGAAACTGATCTAGACAAGTTTTCTTGTAAGCCCACATATCCTTAGTGAAACTGACCTAGACAAGTTTTCTTGTAAGCCCACATATCCTTAGTGAAACTGATCTAGACAAGTTTTCTTGTAAGCCCACATATCCTTATGATCTAGACAAGTTTTCTTGTAGCTGCACTCAAGCAGTGCTACAGAACAAGAGTGATGGCTCTACATGAACTGCTGGCAGGATGAATAGGTTAGGAGAGCTGCATTCTTCACTGGCACAACAAACTTTGAAAGAAACTTAAAGAAGATTCCACACATTCCATCATTTGATCTAGTGGCACTACAGAACTGCATAAATTGGATTTGATCAAGCATAAAAAATGGCTTGCTAACCAAATGTACAGCCAGTGATTGATGAAGTCATGAAATATGTACACCAGTCTCACAGGGAACTTAGGACTTGAGGGGGTGCACCTACCCATTGCAGGAGTTAGAAATAGAACCAGAATAAAAGAGTTCTAAGGTAGGATGAAGAATCAAATAGTAAAGGAACATGTACCTCAATAACAAAGCCAACTATGTACAATATGAACAATGTCCACAACTCAGAAGGCCAGTGACTCAAATCAAATGTGGGAAGACGTGACATTGTAAACAAAGTGAGACAGGTCTGCCACAGGGACAGCAGCTTAGCTGTGCTTAGTACAAACAATGGCTTTAAGAAATTCTTCTTTCAATTATGTGGCAGGGGAAAATTGAACTCTTTCTAATCACAATGTACTGTGGACACATTTAGACAATTTTTAAGTAACAACTTAGTCCAAATCTGAAACAAATAATGCTACCAACTGGAGTCCAAAGCTAAAACTATGACAAGTAAACAAATGTAAGGCTTCCTTCAGTGTTGCAATAAGAATTGTTAGGGCCTTCTGATGGTTAGACGTGGCTAGCTAGCAGCGTATTGACGCATGCTCAAATTCATTGTTAATAAAATGATGACCAGAATCAAAATATTGGAGGCACCGACTCAGAAATGATCAAATAAATAAAGTCATAACAAAATATGAGTCAATCTAAAAGTCAAGACAAGTAGCCCAAACAAATGGCCCTCAGCTACAATATCACATGGCCAGGCCATCCATCTCCCATTAGCTACAATATCACATGGCCAGGCCATCCATCTCCCATTAACTACAATATCACATGGCCAGGCCATCCATCTCCCATTAGCTACAATATCACATGGCCAGGCCATCCATCTCCCATTAGCTACACTATCACATGGCCAGGCCATCCATCTCCCATTAGCTACAATATCACATGGCCAGGCCATCCATCTCCCATTAACTACAATATCACATGGCCAGGCCATCCATCTCCCATTAGCTACAATATCACATGGCCAGGCCATCCATCTCCCATTAGCTACAATATCACATGGCCAGGCCATCCATCTCCCATTAACTACAATATCACATGGCCAGGCCATCCATCTCCCATTAACTACAATATCACATGGCCAGGCCATCCATCTCCCATTAGCTACAATATCACATGGCCAGGCCATCCATCTCCCATTAGCTACAATATCACATGGCCAGGCCATCCATCTCCCATTAGCTACAATATCACATGGCCAGGCCATCCATCTCCCATTAGCTACAATATCACATGGCCAGGCCATCCATCTCCCATTAGCTACAATATCACATGGCCAGATATCTAATCATATGCTCTGGCATCTAGCTGGTGCCAGAACTCAGCCATTTATGTACCATATTCAAAACTATAAGATTGAGAGGCTGATAATGTCAAATTGATGATGGTTTCAATGTTACTGCATCCGCATATTATCACATATTGGAAAAAATACTCATGAAATATATAAATATGGAAAATTATCACAATAAAAGTGATGAAAAACTGTACAGAGAAATCCATGAAGAAAGCTGTGTGAAACTGTACACCTGGTGGCCAGCAAGATTTGAAGCTGTACAAGTCATGAGTGCAATAGAAACACAGTTGAAGAAATCTACTGACAAACACAATAAACAGACACTTGGATCAGTTGAAGAAATCTACTGACAAACACAAACAGACACTTGGATCAGTTGAAGAAATCTACTGACAAACACAATGGATACTCTATACTTATCAACTCGCTGCTTGCAATATGACTCATCTCACAATTACTAATTAGTCATGGCTCATTTTACTACACACAATTAAAATGGCTCACAGGTTTCAACAGTTACACCTAATAATGGGTCATGCAATCAAAGATTTAAGAAGCCGACTGACTGACCGCTAGATATCTCATATTTTGTTCACATTTATAAAATATTTTACAGTCTCAACATAGAAATGCAGAAATAAATCTGGCATCCAATAGATACAATGAAAAAAATCTGGCATCCAATAGATACAATGAAAAAAATCTGGCATCCAATAGATACAATGAAAAAAATCTGGCATCCAATAGATACAATGAAAAAAATCTGGCATCCAATAGATACAATGAAAAAAATCTGGCATCCAATAGATACAATGAAAAAAATCTGGCATCCAATAGATACAATGAAAAAAATCTGGCATCCAATAGATACAATGAAAAAAATCTGGCATCCAATAGATACAATGAAAAAAATCTGGCATCCAATAGATACAATGAAAAAAATCTGGCATCCAATAGATACAATGAAAAAAAAAGCTAATGGGTGAAGCAAGTAAAAAAACTGATGATAATGGCCACAGGTAGCAGTAATAAATAGTGTAAATCAATAATAAATAAGAGGAAAGACATGACCAATTTGCTGATTTATCCAAGACACCAAATGTTGGTCAGTTGCTTTGTTTATCTCTAGTGCTGTGGCAACCAGCAGCTATCAAAGCAACTGTGTGTCTTAAGATGAACAAATAATTCAATGTACAATAGCTGTCCTGTTAGGTTTCTCTACCCTGCTCTATGGACCCGTTAGAGGCGTCATGCTACTATCCCACTATTTGGACCCAACTCGACTGTTCTGCTCTCTGGCTCAGTTTCTTGAATGAATGTTCCACTGTCTTTAGCCTTTTTCATCTGTTCATTGACTTGCTTGATGACATCAATCATTCTCATGCCAGCCCCTTCCTCTTTCTTCTCTCCTTTAGACTTCCTCTTCCCTCCTTCTTTCCCCCTGGTTTTACTGTCTCTGGGTCTTTTGGGAGGAGCCTCTTCCAACTGTCTGGTGCCTGGGTCACCAGGGTCACTGTGAGGTGGGGGTGGGCTGTCATCATCTCGACCAAACATGTCATCGCCAGCAAAACTTGTTTCACAAGTGATACCCTTGTAGTTTCTATAAGCTTTCTGTATGATGCGCGCGGCATAATGTTCCTTTTGCCTCCTGAGTGTGCTGCTGATGGGTTTGTATTCTTCTTTCTCTTTGTCTGTTTCTTTGACCGGCATGTCCGTGGCTTCTGTGGTCCCTAGGAAATTTTTGGTCAGGGCATCCAGAATGTCCCGACAGTAGCACCTGTCTCCATCACAGATAGGGATGTCCAGCTTGACCAGGATGAAATGGTTAGGCTTGGGCAGACGGAGTGGTTCCTCCAGGTAGTCAACAAAGTCAGACAGCTGATCCAGTGGGATATACTTGGTGGCCTTGGGGTCATACTTCTCCCACTTCTCATAGTACATATCAAAGTCATCAGGCGTCAGACCTTGCTGGACATCTTCCGTAGCCTGGCTGAAGTTCTCCAGGATGACAGCAATGTACATGTTGACCACCACAAGGAAGGAGATGATGAGGTAAGTAGCCAGGTACAGGGTGGCCTTGGTGTAGTCATTGCAACTCCCTGAAGGAGGGCACCTGTAGATGAGCCCATTCAAGACGTCGCTCCAGCCAGCACTTGTACACATTTGAAACAACAGAATAAAACTACGAAAAAATGTATCAAAATTAAAAGTATCATCTAATCCATATTTTTGTTCTGATCCTTGGAAAAAATTCATGCCCATGATGGCATAAATAAACATGACAAGTCCCAGTAGGAGCCCGATGTTGAAGAGAGCAGGGAGAGAAACGGCAAGAGAAAAAAGCAAAGTTCTTATTCCTTTAGCTGACTTGACCAATCGAAGGACTCGACCCACACGAAACACTCGGATTACTCTCAATAAAGTTGGTGAAATGAAAAAACTATCCTCAAATTCTTGGAGAGAAGAAGCTAAAAAAGAAGAGGTAATGTATTAATTATGGTGGTGACAGGCGGTGGTTTGACATGCAAATGTGGTGTGATGTATACAGGTGGTGGCGTGATGCGTACAGGTGGTGGTTTGATGTGTACAGGTGGTAGTGTGTAATGTGTACTGATGTGGTGTGTGACATAAAAGATGGTTACATATGACAACAGAAATCTAAAAAAGAAATGAAATTGTGGTTTACCTAAAATTGATAAAACAACGACTACAAAGTCAAAGACATTCCAAGGAACCTTGAAGTAGTACCAGCGCAAGCCAAAGAGCTTGAGCACACATTCTGCAGTGAAGACCGTGATAAAGATCAAGTTGAAGATTGCCAAGATGTCTTTCATCTGCGTGGACATCCCATAGTATTCAAACATCATGGTCAGCATGTTTAATATAATGATGACCATGATGACAATGTCAAACTTTTGATCCGTTGTGATGTCAAATATCAGACCAGCCAATTTGTACTGAAACAGAACAGGAAGATTGTATTGTAAGAGAAGATGACAAGATAGCAGGACCAAGTTTAGTCTCCTGGATGAACTGAGTTACCTTAGGCCTAGGAATAGACTTTTGTGGAGACTTGGACTTCATGCGCTTCATGGCATTGTAATATTTCTTCTGGTCATCTGTCATGAACATCTCTAGCGAGCCGCCAGCCTGTCAAAGTACAACATTTTGTCACGCTCAAGAAACATCTAAAAGACATATTGCTCAATGACTGTGTATCAAGGCTAGAGACTCACCTTCTTTTTCTGGGAGTTGAAGTTGTCAATGATGACACCAATAAAGAGATTCAATGTAAAGAACGATCCAAATATGATGAACAATACAAAAAACAAGTAGCTGTAAATGTTTTCCTCTCGTTTGGGCTGAATGCCAAGCTGGAAGAGAACAAGCTCATTTCATTCGTAGCCCCACACCATTTTATTTCATTTCATTCGTAGCCCCACACCATTTTATTTCATTTCATTCGTAGCCCCACACCATTTTATTTCATTCGTAGCCCCACACCATCTCATTTCATTTCATTCGTAGCCCCACACCATCTCATTTCATTTCATTCGTAGCCCCACACCATTTCATTCATAGCCCCACACCATCTCATTTCATTCGTAGCCCCACACCATCTTATTTCATTCGTAGCCCCACACCATCTCATTTCATTTGTAGGCCCACACCATCTCATTTCATTCGTAGCCCCACACCATCTTATTTCATTTGTAGGCCCACACCATCTCATTTTATTTCATTCATAGGCCCACACCATTTCATTTCATTCGTAGCCCCACACCATCTTATTTCATTTGTAGCCCCACACCATCTTATTTCATTCGTAGCCCCACACCATCTCATTTTATTTCATTCGTAGCCCCACACCATCTCATTTTATTTCATTCGTAGCCCCACACCATCTCATTTCATTTCATTCGTAGCCCCACACCATCTCATTTCATTCGTAGCCCCACACCATCTTATTTCATTTGTAGCCCCACACCATTTCATTTCATTCGTAGCCCCACACCATCTCATTTCATTTCATTCGTAGCCCCACACCATCTCATTTCATTCGTAGCCCCACACCATCTCATCTCATTTCATTCGTAGGCCCACACCATTTTATTTCATTCGTAGGCCCACACCATTTTATTTCATTCGTAGCCCCACACCATCTCATTTTATTTCATTCGTAGCCCCACACCATCTCATTTTATTTCATTCGTAGGCCCACACCATTTCATTTCATTCGTAGGCCCACACCATCTCATTTCATTTGTAGCCCCACACCATTTCATTTCATTCGTAGGCCCACACCATCTCATTTCATTCGTAGCCCGACACCATCTCATTTCATTTCATTCGTAGGCCCACACCATCTCATTTCATTAGTAGCCCCACACATCTCATTTCATTCGTAGCCCCACACCATTTCATTTCATTTGTAGGCCCACACCATCTCATTTCATTCGTAGGCCCACACCATCTCATTTCATTTCATTCGTAGGCCCACACCATCTCATTTCATTCGTAGCCCCACACCATCTCATTTCATTTCATTCGTAGGCCCACACCATCTCATTTCATTTGTAGCCCCACACCATTTCATTTCATTCGTAGCCCCACACCATCTCATTTCATTCGTAGCCCCATATCATCTCATTTCATTTCATTCGTAGCCCCATATCATCTCATTTCATTTCATTCGTAGCCCCACACCATTTCATTTCATTCGTAGCCCCATACCATCTCATTCGTAGCCCCATATCATCTCATTTCATTCGTAGCCCCACACCATCTCATTTCATTCGTAGCCCCACACCATCTCATTTCATTCGTAGCCCCACACCATCTCATTTCATTCGTAGCCCCACACCATCTCATTTCATTCGTAGCCCCAAACCATCTCATTTCATTCGTAGCCCCACACCATCTCATTTCATTCGTAGCCCCACACCATCTCATTTCATTTCATTCATAGGCCCACACATCTCATTTCATTCGTAGCCCCACACCATCTCATTTCATTCGTAGCCCCACACCATCTCATTTCATTCGTAGGCCCACACCATCTCATTTCATTCGTAGCCCCACACCATTTCATTTCATTCGTAGCCCCACACCATCTCATTTCATTAGTAGCCCCACACCATCTCATTTCATTCGTAGCCCCACACCATCTCATTTCATTTCATTCGTAGGCCCACACCATCTTATTTCATTCGTAGCCCCACACCATCTCATTTCATTTCATTCGTAGGCCCACACCATCTCATTTCATTTCATTTGTAGGCCCACACCATCTCATTTCATTTCATTCGTAGGCCCACACCATCTCATTTCATTTGTAGCCCCACACCATTTCATTTCATTCGTAGCCCCACACCATCTCATTTCATTCGTAGCCCCATATCATCTCATTTCATTTCATTCGTAGCCCCATATCATCTCATTTCATTTCATTCGTAGCCCCACACCATTTCATTTCATTCGTAGCCCCATACCATCTCATTCGTAGCCCCATATCATCTCATTTCATTCGTAGCCCCACACCATCTCATTTCATTCGTAGCCCCACACCATCTCATTTCATTCGTAGCCCCACACCATCTCATTTCATTCGTAGCCCCACACCATCTCATTTCATTCGTAGCCCCATATCATCTCATTTTATTTCATTCGTAGCCCCACACCATCTCATTTCATTCGTAGCCCCACACCATTTCATTTCATTCGTAGCCCCATATCATCTCATTTTATTTCATTCGTAGCCCCACACCATCTCATTTCATTCGAAGGCCCACACCATTTCATTTCATTTCATTCGTAGGCATCATTTAAATACTTAGCAAAGCTTAATCCTCAGTGTAAATAATAAATATAATATGGCATCAAACAAATCTATGTTAACTCATTTGCTACTAATGCAACATACCCCCTTGCTACCAATGTGACCGCCATTACTGCATTTTACCTATAATGTTTGTGTTGTATTATTTTCATGCAAAAAGTACTCCTATGCTATTTATGTTTACTAAATACAGTACAAAACTGCGCAAGACCCCCCCCCCCCCCCCCCCAAAGTTTCTAGCATTTTTAGTTATTATTTTAAACCGAGTTTACTAAGTCAAGTTTTGGACACATTTTTACACTTATTTTTGCGTAAACGGTTGCTTCGGCATTAACGTAGTTTTAAAATTAGCAATCAGAATCTATTGTAAAGTCGTCATTTTTTAAATATTAGAAATAAATTAGAAATGATAAATACTATTAGAAAAACAAGAACACTTTGAGGCTTTTTGATAATTAACCATTAATGTCCCGTAACGCCCGCTGCCGCCCGACACCGTTATTGTCCCGTAACGCCCGCTGCCGCCCGCTTACAATACGCATAGAAAAATTAAATTTGTTTCATTAAAATTTGGCCTACAAATCCTAATTTTTAACTAAACAGGAAGTCTGATAGTTTCAGCATCCTTTTCCGGTCTTCTAATTTCAATGGCGCTTTTGAAAGATAAAAAATAAAAGTTTCTTTCTATCTCAAAATTTTAGACTCATCTGTCCTATTTTTAAGTAGATTTAATATTAAAAATAAAATAAAATAATGCCTCTAAACGTATCTAGGCATGTATTTTATGAATTATATATCTTAAACATAACCAAATTGATATTTAACTGTTAAATTCGATGCATAGTTGTTTAGACAAAAATAAATAAAGTTGACTACCGAAAATGACCTGTTTTGAATTTTCTCCGACATTTTTTATTTTTATTCTGTACTTGTACCGAATACAATATATTCTATTTAATACTGTTGGAAAGCCAGGTTTATTCCCAACATTAAGCAGTAGTTTTTATCTTAATTTTCAATTTCATTTAGACAAAAACAAATATTTTGTGAAACTATTCACTTGATCATACAGAGTTATGCTCCTTACATTGGGCCGTCATGGGTGGAGTTTTGGTAGAATGAATGGGACATTAATGGTTAAATAAAGAATAATTATTTGAAAACAATTTCAAAGAAAAGCTGTTGGAGGTTACCCCCCTTAGCTTTGGGTTTTGAGACAGGTAGCAAATGAGTTGAGTAAGTTGAATGTAACTAACAAATCTCACTGACCTCTCTTGCATCAATGGCGTTGTTCATAATATCAATCCAACCTTTGTATGTGGCCTAGAGGAAGACAAGAGATCTCATTTCACACTTGCTTTCTTTACAATCATCAACAGGTACTTCTCATAAGGCTTTTTCACATATGGAGCTGGGCTTTGGACAAGCTGATAGGCTTACAATACAAACTGCAATTTATCCTTCTCAGGTTTATAGTACCATCCCACAAATTTGGTACACCACAGATACCCTCACTAGCAGTGCATTAGAGTTCAGGGGTTCAAGTGCCAAGGTTGTCCACCCAGCTCTGATGGGTACCTGAGTCCACCCAGCTCTGATGGGTACCTGACTCTAGTCCACCCAGCTCTGATGGGTACCTGACTCTAGTCCACCCAGCTCTGATGGGTACCTGACTCACTGAGTCCACCCAGCTGTGATGGGTACCTGACTCTAGTCCACCCAGCTCTGATGGGTACCTGACTCTAGTCCACCCAGCTCTGATGGGTACCTGACTCTAGTCCACCCAGCTCTGATGGGTACCTGACTCTAGTCCACCCAGCTCTGATGGGTACCTGACTCTAGTCCACACAGCTCTGATGGGTACCTGAGTCACTGAGTCCACCCAGCTCTGATGGGTACCTGACTCACTGAGTCCACCCAGCTCTGATGGGTACCTGACTCTAGTCCACCCAGCTCTGATGGGTACCTGACTCTAGTCCACCCAGCTCTGATGGGTACCTGACTCACTGAGTCCACCCAGCTCTGATGGGTACCTGACTCACTGAGTCCACCCAGCTCTGATGGGTACCTGACTCTAGTCCACCCAGCTCTGATGGGTACCTGACTCACTGAGTCCACTCAGCTCTGATGGGTACCTGACTCTAGTCCACCCAGCTCTGATGGGTACCTGACTCTAGTCCACCCAGCTCTGATGGGTATCTGACTCTAGTCCACTCAGCTCTGATGGGTACCTGACTCTAGTCCACCCAGCTCTGATGGGTACCTGACTCTAGTCCACCCAGCTCTGATGGGTACCTGACTCTAGTCAACCCAGCTCTGATGGGTACCTGACTCTAGTCCACCCATCCCAAGTCAGAGGAACATGTGACTTCTACTTCATGTGCCTGATGGACAGTCTTATGGGGCAATGGACATAACTAGAGGTTTGTCTTACCACTTGAAACAAGGCCAAATATGCAGCTATAACATTGTCAAAGTTGATTTGTGCATTGGTCCAGTTGTAGCCATAGAATTCACACATTGTCCTATTGGGTACCTAAAGATCAACAGCATCTTTAAGCTCAAGCAATGGTCAAGTATTGAGGCAATGGTCAAGTATTAAGGCAATGGTCAAGTATTGAAGCAATGGTCAAGTATTGAAGCAATGCTCAAGTATTAAGGCAATGGTCAAGTATTAAGGCAATGGTCAAGTAGTAAGGCAATGGTCAAGTATTGAAGCAATGCTCAAGTAGTAAGGCAATGGTCAAGTATTAAGGCAATGGTCAAGTATTGAGGCAATGGTCAAGTATTGAAGCAATGGTCAAGTATTGAAGCAATGCTCAAGTAGTAAGGCAATGGTCAAGTATTGAGGCAATGCTCAAGTATTAAGGCAATGGTCAAGTATTGAGGCAATGCTCAAGTAGTAAGGCAATGGTCAAGTATTGAAGCAATGGTCAAGTATTGAAGCAATGCTCAAGTATTAAGGCAATGGTCAAGTATTAAGGCAATGGTCAAGTATTGAGGCAATGGTCAAGTATTAAGGCAATGGTCAAGTATTAAAGCAATGGTCAAGTAGTAAGGCAATGGTCAAGTATTGAAGCAATGCTCTAGTACTAAGGCAATGCTCAAGTATTGAGGCAATGGTCAAGTATTAAGGCAATGGTCAAGTATTAAGGCAATGGTCAAGTATTGAAGCAATGGTCAAGTAGTAAGGCAATGGTCAAGTATTGAAGCAATGCTCAAGTATTAAGGCAATGGTCAAGTATTGAGGCAATGCTCAAGTAGTAAGGCAATGGTCAGGTATTGAAGCAATGGTCAAGTATTGAAGCAATGCTCAAGTATTAAGGCAATGGTCAAGTATTAAGGCAATGGTCAAGTATTGAGGCAATGGTCAAGTATTAAAGCAATGGTCAAGTAGTAAGGCAATGGTCAAGTATTGAAGCAATGCTCTAGTACTAAGGCAATGCTCAAGTATTGAGGCAATGGTCAAGTATTAAGGCAATGGTCAAGTATTAAGGCAATGGTCAAGTATTGAAGCAATGGTCAAGTAGTAAGGCAATGGTCAAGTATTGAAGCAATGCTCAAGTATTAAGGCAATGGTCAAGTATTGAGGCAATGCTCAAGTAGTAAGGCAATGGTCAGGTATTGAAGCAATGGTCAAGTATTGAAGCAATGCTCAAGTATTAAGGCAATGGTCAAGTATTAAGGCAATGGTCAAGTATTGAGGCAATGGTCAAGTATTAAAGCAATGGTCAAGTAGTAAGGCAATGGTCAAGTATTGAAGCAATGCTCTAGTACTAAGGCAATGCTCAAGTATTGAGGCAATGGTCAAGTATTAAGGCAATGGTCAAGTATTGAAGCAATGGTCAAGTAGTAAGGCAATGGTCAAGTATTGAAGCAATGGTCAAGTATTGAAGCAATGCTCTAGTACTAAGGCAATGCTCAAGTATTGAGGCAATGGTCAAGTATTAAGGCAATGGTCAAGTATTGAGGCAATGGTCAAGTATTAAGGCAATGGTCAAGTATTAAAGCAATGGTCAAGTAGTAAGGCAATGGTCAAGTATTGAAGCAATGCTCTAGTACTAAGGCAATGCTCAAGTATTGAGGCAATGGTCAAGTATTAAGGCAATGGTCAAGTATTAAGGCAATGGTCAAGTATTGAAGCAATGGTCAAGTATTGAAGCAATGGTCAAGTACTAAGGCAATGGTCAAGTATTAAGACAATGGTCAAGTAGTAAGGCAATGGTCAAGTAGTAAGGCAATGGTCAAGTAGTAAGGCAATGGTCAAGTATTGAAGCAATGCTCAAGTATTAAGGCAATGGTCAAGTATTAAGACAATGGTCAAGTAGTAAGGCAATGGTCAAGTATTAAGGCAATGGTCAAGTATTTCTAAAAGTGTAAATTTTGTCAGGTTGAAGAGAGCATGACTCACCTCTTCTGGATTACATTTGACATTGTCTTTCCAGCAAGCATGAAACTTTCCATTAAACAATTGCACACCCATGATTCCAAAGATAAGCCAAAACACCAAACAAACCAGCAGGACGTTACAGATAGAGGGGATGGCTTTAAACAGGGCATTGACAACAACCTGAGACAGAGATCATTCAATAGATTAACCCTGGCATCTCAATTATTTGACAACAACCTGAGACAGAGATCATTCAATAGATTAACCCTGGCATCTCAATTATTTGACAACAACCTGAGACAGAGATCATTCAATAGATTAACCCTGGCATCTCAATTATTTGACAACAACCTGAAACAGAGATCATTCAATAGATTAACCCTGGCATCTCAATTATTTGACAACAACCTGAGACAGAGATCATTCAATAGATTAACCCTGGCATCTCAATTATTTGACAACAACCTGAGACAGAGATCATTCAATAGATTAACCCTGGCATCTCAATTATTTGACAACAACCTGAGACAGAGATCATTCAATAGATTAACCCTGGCATCTCAATTATTTGACAACAACCTGAAACAGAGATCATTCAATAGATTAACCCTGGCATCTCAATTATTTGACAACAACCTGAGACAGAGATCATTCAATAGATTAACCCTGGCATCTCAATTATTTGACAACAACCTGAGACAGAGATCATTCAATAGATTAACCCTGGCATCTCAATTATTTGACAACAACCTGAAACAGAGATCATTCAATAGATTAACCCTGGCATCTCAATTATTTGACAACAACCTGAAACAGAGATCATTCAATAGATTAACCCTGGCATCTCAATTATTTGACAACAACCTGAGACAGAGATCATTCAATAGATTAACCCTGGCATCTCAATTATTTGACAACAACCTGAGACAGAGATCATTCAATAGATTAACCCTGGCATCTCAATTATTTGACAACAACCTGAAACAGAGATCATTCAATAGATTAACCCTGGCATCTCAATTATTTGACAACAACCTGAAACAGAGATCATTCAATAGATTAACCCTGGCATCTCAATTATTTGACAACAACCTGAAACAGAGATCATTCAATAGATTAACCCTGGCATCTCAATTATTTGACAACAACCTGAAACAGAGATCATTCAATAGATTAACCCTGGCATCTCAATTATTTGACAACAACCTGAGACAGAGATCATTCAATAGATTAACCCTGGCATCTCAATTATTTGACAACAACCTGAGACAGAGATCATTCAATAGATTAACCCTGGCATCTCAATTATTTGACAACAACCTGAAACAGAGATCATTCAATAGATTAACCCTGGCATCTCAATTATTTGACAACAACCTGAGACAGAGATCATTCAATAGATTAACCCTGGCATCTCAATTATTTGACAACAACCTGAAACAGAGATCATTCAATAGATTAACCCTGGCATCTCAATTATTTGACAACAACCTGAGACAGAGATCATTCAATAGATAAACCCTGGCCTGGTATCTAAACTTTTCCCCTACTGCCCAGAGAAAGACAACATTTTTCAACTACGGCACTTTTAAAAATAATTTAAAAAAAAATAACCACTTACATTAAAAAAATAAAATTGAAAGCAATATAAGCAAAACTGGTCCAAGTTTATTATGCATAAGTTAAATAGCTGAATAATTTACTAATAATTAATAAAAATGACACTAATCCCAGAGAAAAGTAAACAAAACACTACTTCTAATATTATTTCCTTACATTTTTTTAATTTTAAATGCTAAAAAAATTAATAGGTTTAATTAGATTTAATTCACTAATTATATTGCCTGTAAATTTGAAGAAAAAAAAGTTAACTTCAGAAAAATTGCTGAAAATGAACCACTAGTGATAGAACGAGAAAACGTATCTTTAAAATCTTGTTACCAATGAGACTTGAGCTACTACGCGTAAGTTAATGTACAATACATAGCAGGGCCACGGCGGGCCCACAGGACTGTAGCACACAAAATATGGGCGACCACAGGCATAGGTCTGGAAAGGGTTAAAGTTCAATAAAAACAAACAATGAGCACTTTCCAAACATATGACAGTCTTGCTACCATCTTATTACATTTCACATGAGTCGGTTATCAGACAATTTATAAGTATACAGTGAATAATCAACCAATTGTCTTTAGAAATAAAACTGACCCTCATTCCTTCCCAGCGACTGACTGCTCGAAGTGGTCGAAGTGCCCTCAGTGTTCTCATAGATTTCATTGCACCCATTCTTCCACCCCCTTGACCATCAGCTGATGCCATCATCTCCAATGCTAGCATCACAATGGACAACTAAAACAAAGAGCAATTCTCAACTCTCTCTTCTTCATTATTGGACTGTCTGTCTGGTGTTGGTCAGTCAGTCTCACCATTGGACTGTCTGGTGTTGGTCAGTCAGTCTCACCATTAGACTGTCTGGTGTTGGTCAGTCAGTCTCACCATTGGATTTGGACTGTCTGTCTGGTGTTGGTCAGTCAGTCTCACCATTGAACTGTCTGGTGTTGGTCAGTCAGTCTCACCATTGGACTGTCTGTCTGGTGTTGGTCAGTCAGTCAGTCTCACCATTGGACTGTCTGTCTGGTGTTGGTCAGTCAGTCTCACCATTGGACTGTCTGGTGTTGGTCAGTCAGTCAGTCTCACCATTGGACTGTCTGTCTGGTGTTGGTCAGTCAGTCAGTCTCACCATTGGACTGTCTGGTGTTGGTCAGTCAGTCAGTCTCACCATTGGACTGTCTGGTGTTGGTCAGTCAGTCAGTCTCACCATTGGACTGTCTGGTGTTGGTCAGTCAGTCAGTCTCACCATTGGACTGTCTGTCTGGTGTTGGTCAGTCAGTCAGTCTCACCATTGGACTGTCTGTCTGGTGTTGGTCAGTCAGTCAGTCTCACCATTGGACTGTCTGGTGTTGGTCAGTCAGTCTCACCATTGGACTGTCTGTCTGGTGTTGGTCAGTCAGTCAGTCTCACCATTGGACTGTCTGGTGTTGGTCAATTAAACTGTCTAGTATTTAGCATCAAGCCAACATCCTACCATAACAATGCAGAAATCCAGCCAGCACCAAGCATCAGTAAAGTATGTCTTCAGGCCAAAAGCAAACCATTTGATGACCATCTCCACAATGAAAATGATAGTGAACACTTTGTCCATGTATTCTAAGATCTCCTTCATCAGGGGCTTTTCATGCAGATATGCATCTTCTAGTGCCTGCAACAGTACAGTCCCTTACAGTTAATTCTACTATACTAGACATCTTCTAGTGCCTGCAACAGTACAGTCCCTTACAGTTAATTCTACTATACTAGACATCTTCTAGTGCCTGCAACAGTACAGTCCCTTACAGTTAATTCTACTATACTAGACATCTTCTAGTGCCTGCAACAGTACAGTCCCTTACAGTTAATTCTACTATACTAGACATCTTCTAGTGCCTGCAACAGTACAGTCCCTTACAGTTAATTCTACTATACTAGACATCTTCTAGTGCCTGCAACAGTACAGTCCCTTACAGTTAATTCTACTATACTAGACATCTTCTAGTGCCTGCAACAGTACAGTCCCTTACAGTTAATTCTACTATACTAGACATCTTCTAGTGCCTGCAACAGTACAGTCCCTTACAGTTAATTCTACTATACTAGACATCTTCTAGTGCCTGCAACAGTACAGTCCCTTACAGTTAATTCTACTATACTAGACATCTTCTAGTGCCTGCAACAGCACAGTCCCTTACAGTTAATTCTACTATACTAGACATCTTCTAGTGCCTGCAACAGTACAGTCCCTTACAGTTAATTCTACTATACTAGACATCTTCTAGTGCCTGCAACAGTACAGTCCCTTACAGTTAATTCTACTATACTAGACATCTTCTAGTGCCTGCAACAGTACAGTCCCTTACAGTTAATTCTACTATACTAGACATCTTCTAGTGCCTGCAACAGTACAGTCCCAGACTTACAAGAGCACAACTGCTGAGTAAAATCATGGAGATGATGAATGTATCAAAGTATTTGTGTTCTGCTACACGGTACATGATACAACGAAGTGTCCACCACTGACGTCCAATAAATGACTTCTCAATGACACCACACCAGGGGCAGCGTTTTGTCACAGAGTAACATAAACAGTCGTCTGGTTCCTGGGGAGACAAGGTCACAGTTGACGTGTTGGTCAATGAGGGTCACCACAAGTTGGCCAATGAGGGTCACCATGTGTTGGCCAATGAGGGTCACCATGTGTTGGCCAATGAGGGTCACCATGTGTTGGCCAATGAGGGTCAACATGTGTTGGCCAATGAGGGTCACTACAAGTTGGTCAATGAGGGTCACCACAAGTTGGCCAATGAGGGTCACCATGTGTTGGCCAATGAGGGTCACCACAAGTTGGTCAATGAGGGTCACCACAAGTTGGTCAATGAGGGTCACCATGTGTTGGCCAATGAGGGTCACCACAAGTTGGCCAATGAGGGTCACCACAAGTTGGTCAATGAGGGTCACCACAAGTTGGTCAATGAGGGTCACCACAAGTTGGCCAATGAGGGTCACCACAAGTTGGCCAATGAGGGTCACCATGTATTGGCCAATGAGGGTCACCATGTATTGGCCAATGAGGGTCACCATGTGTTGGCCAATGAGGGTCACCATGTGTTGGCCAATGAGGGTCACCACAAGTTGGTCAATGAGGGTCACCATGTGTTGGCCAATGAGGGTCAACATGTGTTGGCCAATGAGGGTCAACATGTGTTGGCCAATGAGGGTCACCACAAGTTGGCCAATGAGGGTCACCACAAGTTGGCCAATGAGGGTCACCACAAGTTGGTCAATGAGGGTCACCACAAGTTGGCCAATGAGGGTCACCATGTGTTGGTCAATGAGGGTCACCATGTGTTGGCCAATGAGGGTCAACATGTGTTGGCCAATGAGGGTCAACATGTGTTGGCCAATGAGGGTCAACATGTGTTGGCCAATGAGGGTCACCACAAGTTGGCCAATGAGGGTCACCACAAGTTGGCCAATGAGGGTCACCACAAGTTGGTCAATGAGGGTCACCATGTGTTGGCCAATGAGGGTCAACATGTGTTGGCCAATGAGGGTCACCATGTGTTGGTCAATGAGGGTCACCATGTGTTGGTCAATGAGGGTCACCATGTGTTGGCCAATGAGGGTCACCATGTGTTGGCCAATGAGGGTCACCATGTGTTGGCCAATGAGGGTCACCACAAGTTGGCCAATGAGGGTCACCATGTGTTGGCCAATGAGGGTCACCATGTGTTGGCCAATGAGGGTCACCACAAGTTGGCCAATGAGGGTCACCATGTGTTGGCCAATGAGGGTCACCATGTGTTGGCCAATGAGGGTCACCATGTGTTGGTCAATGAGGGTCACCACAAGTTGGCCAATGAGGGTCACCACAAGTTGGCCAATGAGGGTCACCATGTGTTGGCCAATGAGGGTCACCACAAGTTGGCCAATGAGGGTCACCACAAGTTGGCCAATGAAGGTCTCCATGTGTTGGCCAATGAGGGTCACCATGTGTTGGCCAATGAGGGTCACCACAAGTTGGTCAATGAGGGTCACCATGTGTTGGCCAATGAGGGTCACCACAAGTTGGCCAATGAGGGTCACCATGTGTTGGTCAATGAGGGTCACCACAAGTTGGCCAATGAGGGTCACCATGTGTTGGTCAATGAGGGTCACCATGTGTTGGCCAATGAGGGTCACCACAAGTTGGCCAATGAGGGTCACCATGTGTTGGTCAATGAGGGTCACCACAAGTTGGCCAATGAGGGTCACCATGTGTTGGTCAATGAGGGTCACCACAAGTTGGCCAATGAGGGTCACCATGTGTTGGCCAATGAGGGTCACCACAAGTTGGCCAATGAGGGTCACCATGTGTTGGTCAATGAGGGTCACCACAAGTTGGCCAATGAGGGTCACCATGTGTTGGTCAATGAGGGTCACCACAAGTTGGCCAATGAGGGTCACCATGTGTTGGCCAATGAGGGTCACCATGTGTTGGCCAATGAGGGTCACCACAAGTTGGCCAATGAGGGTCACCACAAGTTGGTCAATGAGGGTCACCATGTGTTGGCCAATGAGGGTCACCACAAGTTGGCCAATGAGGGTCACCACAAGTTGGCCAATGAGGGTCACCACAAGTTGGCCAATGAGGGTCACCACAAGTTGGCCAATGAGGGTCACCACAAGTTGGCCAATGAGGGTCACCACAAGTTGGCCAATGAGGGTCACCACAAGTTGGCCAATGAGGGTCACCACAAGTTGGCCAATGAGGGTCACCATGTATTGGCCAATGAGGGTCACCATGTGTTGGCCAATGAGGGTCACCATGTGTTGGTCAATGAGGGTCACCACAAGTTGGCCAATGAGGGTCACCACAAGTTGGCCAATGAGGGTCACCACAACTTGGCCAATGAGGGTCACCATGTATTGGCCAATGAGGGTCACCATGTGTTGGTCAATGAGGGTCACCACAAGTTGGCCAATGAGGGTCACCATGTGTTGGTCAATGAGGGTCACCATGTGTTGGCCAATGAGGGTCACCACAAGTTGGCCAATGAGGGTCACCATGTGTTGGTCAATGAGGGTCACCATGTGTTGGTCAAAGAGGGTCACCACAAGTTGGCCAATGAGGGTCACCACAAGTTGGCCAATGAGGGTCACCATGTATTGGCCAATGAGGGTCACCATGTGTTGGTCAATGAGGGTCACCACAAGTTGGCCAATGAGGGTCACCATGTATTGGTCAAAGAGGGTCACCACAAGTTGGCCAATGAGGGTCACCACAAGTTGGCCAATGAGGGTCACCATGTGTTGGTCAATGAGGGTCACCACAAGTTGGCCAATGAGGGTCACCACAAGTTGGCCAATGAGGGTCACCATGTGTTGGCCAATGAGGGTCACCATGTGTTGGCCAATGAGGGTCACCACAAGTTGGCCAATGAGGGTCACCACAAGTTGGCCAATGAGGGTCACCATGTGTTGGCCAATGAGGGTCACCATGTGTTGGCCAATGAGGGTCACCATGTATTGGCCAATGAGGGTCACCACAAGTTGGCCAATGAGGGTCACCACAAGTTGGCCAATGAGGGTCACCACAACTTGGCCAATGAGGGTCACCATGTATTGGTCAAAGAGGGTCACCACAAGTTGGCCAATGAGGGTCACCACAAGTTGGCCAATGAGGGTCACCATGTATTGGCCAATGAGGGTCACCATGTGTTGGTCAATGAGGGTCACCACAAGTTGGCCAATGAGGGTCACCATGTGTTGGTCAATGAGGGTCACCATGTGTTGGCCAATGAGGGTCACCACAAGTTGGCCAATGAGGGTCACCACAAGTTGGCCAATGAGGGTCACCATGTGTTGGCCAATGAGGGTCACCATGTGTTGGTCAATGAGGGTCACCATGTGTTGGCCAATGAGGGTCACCATGTATTGGCCAATGAGGGTCACCATGTATTGGCCAATGAGGGTCACCATGTGTTGGTCAATGAGGGTCACCACAAGTTGGCCAATGAGGGTCACCATGTGTTGGCCAATGAGGGTCACCATGTGTTGGCCAATGAGGGTCACCATGTGTTGGTCAATGAGGGTCACCATGTGTTGGCCAATGAGGGTCACCACAAGTTGGTCAATGAGGGTCACCATGTGTTGGCCAATGAGGGTCACCATGTGTTGGTCAATGAGGGTCACCATGTGTTGGTCAATGAGGGTCACCACAAGTTGGCCAATGAGGGTCACCATGTGTTGGTCAATGAGGGTCACCACAAGTTGGCCAATGAGGGTCACCATGTGTTGGCCAATGAGGGTCACCATGTGTTGGTCAATGAGGGTCACCACAAGTTGGCCAATGAGGGTCACCATGTGTTGGCCAATGAGGGTCACCACAAGTTGGCCAATGAGGGTCACCATGTATTGGCCAATGAGGGTCACCATGTGTTGGCCAATGAGGGTCACCATGTGTTGGCCAATGAGGGTCACCACAAGTTGGCCAATGAGGGTCACCATGTGTTGGTCAATGAGGGTCACCATGTGTTGGCCAATGAGGGTCACCACAAGTTGGCCAATGAGGGTCACCATGTGTTGGTCAATGAGGGTCACCACAAGTTGGCCAATGAGGGTCACCATGTGTTGGCCAATGAGGGTCACCATGTATTGGCCAATGAGGGTCACCATGTGTTGGTCAATGAGGGTCACCATGTATTGGCCAATGAGGGTCACCATGTGTTGGCCAATGAGGGTCACCATGTGTTGGCCAATGAGGGTCACCACAAGTTGGCCAATGAGGGTCACCATGTGTTGGCCAATGAGGGTCACCATGTGTTGGCCAATGAGGGTCACCATGTGTTGGCCAATGAGGGTCACCATGTGTTGGTCAATGAGGGTCACCACAAGTTGGCCAATGAGGGTCACCATGTGTTGGCCAATGAGGGTCACCATGTGTTGGCCAATGAGGGTCACCATGTGTTTGTCAATGAGGGTCACCACAAGTTGGTCAATGAGAGTCACCACAAGTTGGCCAATGAGGGTCACCACAAGTTGGTCAATGAGGGTCACCACAAGTTGGCCAATGAGGGTCACCATGTATTGGCCAATGAGGGTCACCATGTGTTTGTCAATGAGGGTCACCATGTGTTTGTCAATGAGGGTCACCACAAGTTGGTCAATGAGAGTCACCACAAGTTGGCCAATGAGGGTCACCATGTGTTTGTCAATGAGGGTCACCACAAGTTGGTCAATGAGGGTCACCACAAGTTGGCCAATGAGGGTCACCATGTGTTTGTCAATGAGGGTCACCATGTGTTGGTCAATGAGGGTCACCATGTGTTGGTCAATGAGGGTCACCATGTGTTTGTCAATGAGGGTCACCACAAGTTGGTCAACTTACTTTTGCATAGACTATGTCCACCTCATTAACCTCGTGGTCCGCCTCCAAATCAATTTTCTTGGTCTGGGCTGAGTCAGAGAGAGAGGAGCAGCTTGAGCAGTGGCTGGAGCCGCTGCCCACTGGAGATTTTAAATCCTTTGTTGAGTAGATACTGCCCGCCCTGGAAATCTGAAACACCAACAAGGGATAAAGGCAATAAAGGACTACCAAATGGTTGGATTTTAACTACAAGATAGTTGGATTACTTATGCTAAATATTGAAATAATTTCTACAAGCTTATTGGATGAAATGAAGATACTCAGCTCAAACCAATCTGGCTAGCATACTATTGAACAGTTGCAGTGAAAATGTGAACTGCCTACTCTTATGACAGGGAGATACGTACCCACCTGGGATGTCTTCTGGTGTCTTCTCCAAAGATATGATTGTGCCATCAGCCCCCATCAAAACTTACCATAGCCCCATCTGGGATGTCTTCTGGTGTCTTCTCCAAAGATATGCTTGTGCCGTCAGCCCCCATCAAAACTTACCATAGCCCCATCTGGGATGTCTTCTGGTGTCTTCTCCAAAGATATGACCGTGCCGTCAGCTCCCATCAAAACTTACCATAGCCCCATCTGGGATGTCTTCTGGTGTCTTCTCCAAAGATATGACCGTGCCGTCAGCTCCCATCAATTCCTTCCCATTGAGTTCTGGCTGCTCTGAGTGTGTCACTGCTGGTCTCCAGTTCTTCTGACGCTGAAGTTTCACTTTGATGCACACAATCACTTTTACCTTCACCCAGTTGCCAAAGCGTCTGAAATTGTTGGTTCAACAATGACAAGAGAGCCAGCAAATACTGTAAGACTAAGACTAAAAACTAATTTCAATCTTGTACAGGGTGAACAAAGGCTTACTTGAATCTATCAATGGCTTCAGCAATCTTGTTTGGTTCATCATCAGATTCTGAGCGAGACAGACTTTCACTACCAAAAGAGCTCAGCAACAAGGCAAGAAACAGATTCAGAACCTAAAAGGTAAATTGTCAGAAGTATCTTAATGTCAGGCTGACAGACATGGTGAGGTATATCTTAGTGTTAACATAATAACTGTAACAAAAGGGGAGGGTTGGGGGGGGGGTCGCGCCAGCTCCTATCTGTGAGCTTTCTCTGTACAGTAATTAATCAACCCAACACAAACTGTGACTAATTGACACCACCAAATTAATCAACCCAACACAAACTGTGACTAATTGACACCACCAAATTAATCAACCCAACACAAACTGTGACTAATTGACACCATCAAATTAATCAACCCAACACAAACTGTGACTAATTGACACCACCAAATTAATCAACCCAACACAATCTGTGACTAATTGACACCACCGAATTAATCAACACAAACTGTGACAAATTGACACCACCGAATTAATCAACCCAACAGAAACTGTGACTAATTGACACCACCAAATTAATCAACCCAACACAATCCGTGACTAATTGACACCACCGAATTAATCAACCCAACACAAACTGTGACTAATTGACACCACCAAATTAATCAACCCAACAGAAACTGTGACTAATTGACACCATCGAATTAATCAACCCAACACAATCTGTGACTAATTGACACCACCAAATTAATCAACCCAACACAATCTGTGACTAATTGACACCACCAAATTAATCAACCCAACACAATCTGTGACTAATTTACACCACCAAATTAATCAACCCAACACAATCTGTGACTAATTGACACCACCAAATTAATCAACCCAACACAAACTGTGACTAATTGACACCACCAAATTAATCAACCCAACAGAAACTGTGACTAATTGACACCACCGAATTAATCAACCCAACACAATCTGTGACTAATTGACACCACCAAATTAATCAACACAAACTGTGACTAATTGACACCACCGAATTAATCAACCCAACACAAACTGTGACTAATTGACACCACCAAATTAATCAACCCAACACAAACTGTGACTAATTGACACCACCAAATTAATCAACCCAACACAATCTGTGACTAATTGACACCACCGAATTAATCAACCCAACACAAACTGTGACTAATTGACACCACCGAATTAATCAACCCAACACAAACTGTGACAAATTGACACCACCGAATTAATCAACCCAACACAATCTGTGACTAATTGACACCACCAAATTAATCAACCCAACACAATCTGTGACTAATTGACACCACCAAATTAATCAACCCAACACAATCTGTGACTAATTGACACCACCAAATTAATCAACCCAACACAATCTGTGACTAATTGACACCACCAAATTAATCAACACAAACTGTGACTAATTGACACCACCAAATTATTCAACCCAACAGAAACTGTGACTAATTGACACCACCAAATTAATCAACACAAACTGTGACTAATTGACACCACCGAATTAATCAACCCAACACAAACTGTGACTAATTGACACCACCAAATTAATCAACCCAACACAAACTGTGACTAATTGACACCACCAAATTAATCAACCCAACACAATCTGTGACTAATTGACACCACCGAATTAATCAACCCAACACAAACTGTGACTAATTGACACCACCGAATTAATCAACCCAACACAAACTGTGACAAATTGACACCACCGAATTAATCAACCCAACACAATCTGTGACTAATTGACACCACCAAATTAATCAACCCAACACAATCTGTGACTAATTGACACCACCAAATTAATCAACCCAACACAATCTGTGACTAATTGACACCACCAAATTAATCAACCCAACACAAACTGTGACTAATTGACACCACCAAATTATTCAACCCAACAGAAACTGTGACTAATTGACACCACCGAATTAATCAACCCAACACAAACTGTGACAAATTTAGAAGTGGCATGAATGCTGACAGTGGACTGACTGAGTTAGCACAAAATTTAATGCCTTTCATGTGCTGACTAGTTTCACAATCCAACAAATTTTCACTAAACATTAGGTATTTCTAGTGTTAATCAAACACAAAACAAAACATTTAAAGAAAGTAGTACACACATTGAACGTTAAGTTTAAATCCATTGGACCCTGATAAGTTAATCTGATATTCTAATAAAACTTTGTGTAAACCAAGTGATTAAAAAACCTGCTGACCAAGGCAATGACCAGCCTATGTAACCTTGAGAACTTACCACCAGGTTTCCAATGATGTAGGTCAGCAGAAAGAATGGCACGCATGGCCAGCCAGCAGCTTTGTGGCAGAACCACATGGACTCAATCCATTCCCCACACAACACACGGAACACAATCATAAAGGAATGAAGGAAGTCATTAAAGTTCCATCTGGGCATGTTGTCTTTATTCTCTATCACAGTTCCACTAGAAAGAAATGTTGATTAGTTCAATAGAAATAAACTCAATGTTAAGTTCAATAGAAATACACTCAATGTTAAGTTCAATAGAAATATACTCAATGTTAAGTTCAATAGAAATAAACTCAATGTTAAGTTCAATAGAAATACACTCAATGTTAAGTTCAATAGAAATAAACTCAATGTTAAGTTCAATAGAAATAAACTCAATGTTAAGTTCAATAGAAATACACTCAATGTTAAGTTCAATAGAAATAAACTCAATGTTAAGTTCAATAGAAATAAACTCAATGTTAAGTTCAATAGAAATACACTCAATGTTAAGACACAGCAGTTGAAGACAAGTAGGTTAGAAATGTACACCCAAGTACTTGGCCATGACATTTACAGTCCAGTACCTGGACATGACATTTACAGTTCAGTACTTGGACATGACATTTACAGTCCAGTACTTGGAAATGACAGTTACAGTTCAGTAATTGCAAATGACATTTACAGTTCAGCGCTTGCACAAGACATTTACAGTTAAGTACTTGCACAAAACACTATTTGATGTGTAGATTAATACCTTGTTCTAAATAATATTTACAGCTAAACTAGCTGACTCCAAAGTTGAAACAGCCAATATCAATGAAACTAACCATATAGGAGAAGACTTACTTTGACAGTGTTTGGTTGTTGTAGATGACATAATAAGAAGAGAAGAGCTGCTGACCCATGACGGCAAATATAAAGATGACGATGCCCAAAACAATGATCAGGTTTCCCAATGCTCCCATTGTTCTGGCTACTATGGCTATCAACATATTGAGTGTGGGCCAGGATTTGGCTAGTTTAAACACACGCAACTGAAAAAAAATATTTTTTTAACATAAAACTATTTAAAGCCATCAACATATTGAGTGTGGGCCAGGATTTGGCTAGTTTAAACACACGCAACTGAAATAAGCATTTTTTTTTAAAAACTATTTATGGCCATCAACATATTGAGTGTGGACCAGGATTTGGCTAGTTTAAACACACGCAACTGAAATAAGCATTTTTTTAAAAAAACTATTTATGGCCATCAACATATTGAGTGTGGGCCAGGATTTGCCAACTAAATTTGTTTGAGGGTGTACTCTTTTGATATCAACTAAGACAGCAGTTCAAATATTTTCCACCAGTTTGTGCCAATAATATTCCCTAATACAGTGGGAGATGCTCCTATTTTCTGTCATTTTTAAAAGCATTTATAATATGCTAATGTCAATGGTAAAAAATGTAAAGCCCTGGAACAATTATACTGAAACAGACATGTCAAGAAATGCAAAAATGAAAGACAAACAGAATTATATAGAACTGCTGGCAAGTGAAGCAGAAGACGTACTCTACCGTGGAAATACTAGGGGCCTTTACAATACAATTAAGAAGATATCTTGGAGGTTCAGTAAGCCACAGAGGACAGTGAAGACCAAAGATGGTAAGGTGATACCTGATGTGGAAGGACAGAGGAAGAGATCAGCAGAATATTTTGAAGAACTGCTGAAGAGACCAAGAGTGCACATAAGATCTACCACCAGCTGAAAGTGATCTCCCTGTAGACTGTAACCCACCTTCAAAAGAAGAGATATACAAAGCCAGAAAGCAGATGAAAAATTGCAAGTCTCTAGGAATAGATGATATACCGGCAGAAGCAATGACAGCAGATATTGAAACTAGCACCGCACTATTACACACCTTCTTCAAGAAAATCTGGGAAGATGAACAAATACCAGAGGAGAAGAAGGAGGGACTATTCATAAAGCTCTCAAAGAAAGGCCATCTAATGCATGCTCTAATTATAGAGGGATAACACTTTTGTTCATCCCAGGCAGTCTTCAACAGAATATTATTAAACAGGATAAAGGGAGGGGTAGACCCAACTTTAAGAACAACAGACAGGCTTAAGGAAGGAAAGATCATGCATAGACCAAATTGTTACCCTGTGCATCATTGAACAAACCCAAGAGTGGAAGTCATCTCTCTACATTAATTTTATAGATTACAAGAAGGCCTTTGAGTCTAGGTAGACAGTCAATGAAGACATTTTTGAGCTGATATGGGCTATCACAGAAAATAGTCACATTAGAAGTTCATCAAGTCCTTCCCTATACAGACTGAAGTAAGGCAAGGTTGCCTACTTTCACTATTCCTGTACAGACTGAAGTAAGGCAAGGTTGCCTACTTTCACTATTCCTGTACAGACTGGAGTAAGGCAAGGTTGCCTACTTTCACTATTCCTGTACAGACTGGAGTAAGGCAAGGTTGCCTACTTTCACTATTCCTGTACAGACTGGAGTAAGGCAAGGTTGCCTACTTTCACTATTCCTGTACAGACTGGAGTAAGGCAAGGTTGCCTACTTTCACTATTCCTGTACAGACTGGAGTAAAGCAAGGTTGCCTACTTTCACTATTCCTGTACAGACTGGAGTAAGGCAAGGTTGCCTACTTTCACTATTCCTGTACAGACTGGAGTAAGGCAAGGTTGCCTACTTTCACTATTCCTGTACAGACTGGAGTAAGGCAAGGTTGCCTACTTTCACTATTCCTGTACAGACTGGAGTAAGGCAAGGTTGCCTACTTTCACTATTCCTGTACAGACTGGAGTAAGGCAAGGTTGCCTACTTTCACTATTCCTGCTGGCCACAGGCTGGGTTTACAAGATGTCAACAGAGAAAAAGTAAAACGGTATACAGTGGACACTGTGGAACCAGCTCGATGACCTGGACTTTGCTGACAACATGACCCTTCTTTCTCGCACACAAGAACAATTGCAAGATAAAACCAACAGTTGCTAATTTTTCCACAGGGCAAAAGGTAAAGATGTCAAGAAGCCAGCATGACAAGACAGGCCATCACATAGAATCCACAGGGCAAAAGGTAAAGATGAAAAGAAAGAGCTAAAGACGTGACCTGGAAGAAGATACACCTGGGGACAGTTGGAGAGACTAGCTCATGACAGAGATGCCTTGAAAGCATTTGTCAGCTACCTATATCCCAGGAGGGACAACAGGCGAACTTACCTACTAATGGTAAAAATGTATAATTAGGAATTAGACCAATAATAACTAACTGATGTCATTTTTACTGTAACTCTATCCAAAATGTGATTGTGAGAAATTTCAGATGTACTATCTGGTATCTGCATACCGAGCATATGAGCCATTTTTAAAAAGACATTGTTAACCAACTTTTTCAAGGTTCCACCAAACAGTGTGCACATATGATAATAGAAATCTGGCAGCCCTCCCCTCCCTTAGCTCCACAGAGCTGGATCTGTTGTGGTGGGGGTCATTAATCATTTCATTTAGTGTGCTGTATGTTTGCATTACTTGTAGTAACGAAGGATCATGTCAATTAAAAATTATCATCCTTTACTGGTTTCAACATGGAAAATGTCAACAACGACAAAAATTTAACTTTTTAAACATACAGCAGTTGTCAACAAAATTATTATTAACATTAATAAAAATGGCCATTGTAAAGATACACAAAAAAAAGGTGTTACAGGCCAGACCTTACCAATCTAAAAGCTCTCAAAACAGACAGTCCAGGCAATTCTTTCATGCTGAGTTCCATTAAAGACAGGGCAACAATCAGAGAGTCAAAGATATTCCAGCCATCTTTGAAGTATACTACAGGACTCATTGCCAGGATTTTAAGGAAAGCCTCAGCAGCAAAGATGGCTGTAAACACCTGCACAAAATTTTAAAAATTCAGGTATCAAATGGCTGTAAACACAACATTTGAAAAATTCAGGTATCAAATCTCTGTAAACACAAAATTTGAAACATACAGGTATCAAATGAATGCGGTTTCACCTGATTTGAGCCTGTAGAGAAAATATATGCTTGAGTTGACTGTACTCACCTCGTTGGCTTGTGCAGATACCTCTTGTAGACTTTTGTCCATGTTATAATGGTCCATAGCCATAAACAGAGTGTTGACCACAATACAGATGGTGATAAAAAGATCAACGAAGGCATCCATGATAAAAAGGCTAACCAAGCGCTGCAGCTTCTGAAAGTTTGGGTTGCAATCCCAGGTACAGATGTACTTCCACAACATGTCCTTCATAGACTTCTGCTGGATGCTGGCCATGCTAACAAAACCTGAAGAGACAAGGGAGCTCACTAAACAAAACCTCAACAGACAAGGGAGCTCACTAAACAAAACCTCAACAGACAAGGGAGCTCACTAAACAAAACCTCAACAGACAAGGGAGCTCACTAAACAAAACCTGAACAGACAAGGGAGCTCACTAAACAAAACCTCAACAGACAAGGGAGCTCACTAAACAAAACCTGAACAGACAAGGGAGCTCACTAAACAAAACCTCAACAGACAAGGGAGCTCACTAAACAAAACCTGAACAGACAAGGGAGCTCACTAAACAAAACCTCAACAGACAAGGGAGCTCACTAAACAAAATCTCAACAGACAAGGGAGCTCACTAAACAAAACCTCAACAGACAAGGGAGCTCACTAAACAAAACCTCAGACAAGGGAGCTCACTAAACAAAACCTCAACAGACAAGGGAGCTCACTAAACAAAACCTCAACAGACAAGGGAGCTCACTAAACAAAACCTCAACAGACAAGGGAGCTCACTAAACAAAACCTCAACAGACAAGGGAGCTCACTAAACAAAACCTCAACAGACAAGGGAGCTCACTAAACAAAACCTCAACAGACAAGGGAGCTCACTAAACAAAACCTCAACAGACAAGGGAGCTCACTAAACAAAACCTCAACAGACAAGGGAGCTCACTAAACAAAACCTCAACAGACAAGGGAGCTCACTAAACAAAACCTCAACAGACAAGGGAGCTCACTAAACAAAACCTCAACAGACAAGGGAGCTCACTAAACAAAACCTCAACAGACAAGGGAGCTCACTAAACAAAACCTCAACAGACAAGGGAGCTCACTAAACAAAACCTCAACAGACAAGGGAGCTCACTAAACAAAACCTCAACAGACAAGGGAGCTCACTAAACAAAACCTCAACAGACAAGGGAGCTCACTAAACAAAACCTCAACAGACAAGGGAGCTCACTAAACAAAACCTCAACAGACAAGGGAGCTCACTAAACAAAACCTCAACAGACAAGGGAGCTCACTAAACAAAACCTCAACAGACAAGGGAGCTCACTAAACAAAACCTCAACAGACAAGGGAGCTCACTAAACAAAACCTCAACAGACAAGGGAGCTCACTAAACAAAACCTCAACAGACAAGGGAGCTCACTAAACAAAACCTCAACAGACAAGGGAGCTCACTAAACAAAACCTCAACAGACAAGGGAGCTCACTAAACAAAACCTCAACAGACAAGGGAGCTCACTAAACAAAACCTCAACAGACAAGGGAGCTCACTAAACAAAACCTCAACAGACAAGGGAGCTCACTAAACAAAACCTCAACAGACAAGGGAGCTCACTAAACAAAACCTCAACAGACAAGGGAGCTCACTAAACAAAACCTCAACAGACAAGGGAGCTCACTAAACAAAACCTCAACAGACAAGGGAGCTCACTAAACAAAACCTCAACAGACAAGGGAGCTCACTAAACAAAACCTCAACAGACAAGGGAGCTCACTAAACAAAACCTCAACAGACAAGGGAGCTCACTAAACAAAACCTCAACAGACAAGGGAGCTCACTAGACAAAACCTGAACAGACAAGGGAGCTCACTAGACAAAACCTGAACAGACAAGGGAGCTCACTAAACAAAACCTCAACAGACAAGGGAGCTCACTAAACAAAACCTCAACAGACAAGGGAGCTCACTAAACAAAACCTCAACAGACAAGGGAGCTCACTAAACAAAACCTCAACAGACAAGGGAGCTCACTAAACAAAACCTCAACAGACAAGGGAGCTCACTAAACAAAACCTCAACAGACAAGGGAGCTCACTAAACAAAACCTGAACAGACAAGGGAGCTCACTAAACAAAACCTGAACAGACAAGGGAGCTCACTAAACAAAACCTCAACAGACAAGGGAGCTCACTAAACAAAACCTCAACAGACAAGGGAGCTCACTAAACAAAACCTGAACACACTATTTTTCCTAAAAGTAGTCAGAGGTTGGAGGCAGTCATAAAATGTTTTTTATTAAAGAGGGTGGGTTCGTGGAACTGTAGACCCGCTATTTGATGTCATTTGTGGCTATCTAGCTGGTAATGACTATATGGGTTGGGGTAAAATTAGGCTAATCAACATGACGTCATAATACTTTTACTGAACCTTACAGTCACTTCTACATGTTTCCATAACAAACCCCTTTTCTGATGAGCACTACAGACCTTACCACGTAGGCACATTCTACATGCCCCGTTATTTAATTTCTTATTTTAAAACATGCTTATTTTGAGTTGATTATTTGGAAAAAAAAATAACTAGATCTACATCGTCTTAGGCTTTGACACAGTTTGGTATATTGCCCCACTTCATTTTCTTTACATTTAATGTTATGAAAATACTTGTTCTTTCTTCTAATGTGCTTATAAAATAAAAGTACTTTTTCTTTCTTCTACTGTACAAGTGTAATGAAAATACTTACTTCTTCTATGTCCTGAAGCTTGATCTAGTATATCTTTGAGCACCATAACATCTGATTTAAAAAAAAAAAAAAAAAATTTAATTACCACAACTCAAGTTGGTCAACATCGAATCATGTGCTCCCCCCTTACTTTACTCATTTAGAGCGGATGCAATATTGTATGAGATTTTCAGCAATGTGTTACCAATTATAAATTTTAGAATCAATGAGTGCTCTTGGGAGCCACCGGTTACACTACAGTCCCTGGTTTGGTCATCAAATATTGTGTGCCACCCTGTCCCTTTTGTAGGGTGCTCTTTAAAACTAATGTAGGTGCTGTAGGCTTGAGCCCACCAGACCACTGGCGTCTGTTTCCATTTGGGGAATGATTATAGTAGACCACTGTGTCCATAGTGTATTGCACTTTTTAAAAAGAACTTAGGCGCCACTGTGTCCATAGTGTATTGCACTTTTTAAAAAGAACTTAGGCGCCACTGTGTCCACAGTGTATTGCACTTTTTAAAAAGAACTTAGGCGCCACTGTGTCCATAGTGTATTGCACTTTTTAAAAAGAACTTAGGTGCCACTGTGTCCATAGTGTATTGCACTTTTTAAAAAGAACTTAGGCGCCACTGTGTCCATAGTGTATTGCACTTTTTAAAAAGAACTTAGGCGCCACTGTGTCCATAGTGTATTGCACTTTTTAAAAAGAACTTAGGCGCCACTGTGTCCATAGTGTATTGCACTTTTTAAAAAGAACTTAGGCGCCACTGTGTCCATAGTGTATTGCACTTTTTAAAAAGAACTTAGGCGCCACTGTGTCCATAGTGTATTGCACTTTTTAAAAAGAACTTAGGTGCCACTGTGTCCATAGTGTATTGCACTTTTTAAAAAGAACTTAGGCGCCACTGTGTCCATAGTGTATTGCACTTTTTAAAAAGAACTTAGGTGCCACTGTGTCCATAGTGTATTGCACTTTTTAAAAAGAACTTAGGTGCCACTGTGTCCATAGTGTATTGCACTTTTTAAAAAGAACTTAGGTGCCACTGTGTCCATAGTGTATTGCACTTTTTAAAAAGAACTTAGGCGCCACTGTGTCCATAGTGTATTGCACTTTTTAAAAAGAACTTAGGCGCCACTGTGTCCATAGTGTATTGCACTTTTTAAAAAGAACTTAGGTGCCACTGTGTCCATAGTGTATTGCACTTTTTAAAAAGAACTTAGGTGCCACTGTGTCCATAGTGTATTGCACTTTTTAAAAAGAACTTAGGCGCCACTGTGTCCATAGTGTATTGCACTTTTTAAAAAGAACTTAGGTGCCACTGTGTCCATAGTGTATTGCACTTTTTAAAAAGAACTTAGGCGCCACTGTGTCCATAGTGTATTGCACTTTTTAAAAAGAACTTAGGCGCCACTGTGTCCATAGTGTATTGCACTTTTTAAAAAGAACTTAGGTGCCACTGTGTCCATAGTGTATTGCACTTTTTAAAAAGAACTTAGGTGCCACTGTGTCCATAGTGTATTGCACTTTTTAAAAAGAACTTAGGTGCCACTGTGTCCATAGTGTATTGCACTTTTTAAAAAGAACTTAGGCGCCACTGTGTCCATAGTGTATTGCACTTTTTAAAAAGAACTTAGGTGCCACTGTGTCCATAGTGTATTGCACTTTTTAAAAAGAACTTAGGCGCCACTGTGTCCATAGTGTATTGCACTTTTTAAAAAGAACTTAGGTGCCACTGTGTCCATAGTGTATTGCACTTTTTAAAAAGAACTTAGGTGCCACTGTGTCCATAGTGTATTGCTCTTTTTAAAAAGAACTTAGGTGCCACTGTGTCCATAGTGTATTGCACTTTTTAAAAAGAACTTAGGCGCCACTGTGTCCATAGTGTATTGCACTTTTTAAAAAGAACTTAGGTGCCACTGTGTCCATAGTGTATTGCACTTTTTAAAAAGAACTTAGGCGCCACTGTGTCCATAGTGTATTGCACTTTTTAAAAAGAACTTAGGTGCCACTGTGTCCATAGTGTATTGCACTTTTTAAAAAGAACTTAGGTGCCACTGTGTCCATAGTGTATTGCACTTTTTAAAAAGAACTTAGGCGCCACTGTGTCCATAGTGTATTGCACTTTTTAAAAAGAACTTAGGTGCCACTGTGTCCATAGTGTATTGCACTTTTTAAAAAGAACTTAGGCGCCACTGTGTCCATAGTGTATTGCACTTTTTAAAAAGAACTTAGGCGCCACTGTGTCCATAGTGTATTGCACTTTTTAAAAAGAACTTAGGTGCCACTGTGTCCATAGTGTATTGCACTTTTTAAAAAGAACTTAGGTGCCACTGTGTCCATAGTGTATTGCACTTTTTAAAAAGAACTTAGGTGCCACTGTGTCCATAGTGTATTGCACTTTTTAAAAAGAACTTAGGCGCCACTGTGTCCATAGTGTATTGCACTTTTTAAAAAGAACTTAGGTGCCACTGTGTCCATAGTGTATTGCACTTTTTAAAAAGAACTTAGGTGCCACTGTGTCCATAGTGTATTGCACTTTTTAAAAAGAACTTAGGTGCCACTGTGTCCATAGTGTATTGCACTTTTTAAAAAGAACTTAGGTGCCACTGTGTCCATAGTGTATTGCACTTTTTAAAAAGAACTTAGGCGCCACTGTGTCCATAGTGTATTGCACTTTTTAAAAAGAACTTAGGTGCCACTGTGTCCATAGTGTATTGCACTTTTTAAAAAGAACTTAGGTGCCACTGTGTCCATAGTGTATTGCACTTTTTAAAAAGAACTTAGGCGCCACTGTGTCCATAGTGTATTGCACTTTTTAAAAAGAACTTAGGTGCCACTGTGTCCATAGTGTATTGCACTTTTTAAAAAGAACTTAGGCGCCACTGTGTCCATAGTGTATTGCACTTTTTAAAAAGAACTTAGGTGCCACTGTGTCCATAGTGTATTGCACTTTTTAAAAAGAACTTAGGCGCCACTGTGTCCATAGTGTATTGCACTTTTTAAAAAGAACTTAGGTGCCACTGTGTCCATAGTGTATTGCACTTTTTAAAAAGAACTTAGGTGCCACTGTGTCCATAGTGTATTGCTCTTTTTAAAAAGAACTTAGGTGCCACTGTGTCCATAGTGTATTGCACTTTTTAAAAAGAACTTAGGCGCCACTGTGTCCATAGTGTATTGCACTTTTTAAAAAGAACTTAGGTGCCACTGTGTCCATAGTGTATTGCACTTTTTAAAAAGAACTTAGGCGCCACTGTGTCCATAGTGTATTGCACTTTTTAAAAAGAACTTAGGTGCCACTGTGTCCATAGTGTATTGCACTTTTTAAAAAGAACTTAGGTGCCACTGTGTCCATAGTGTATTGCACTTTTTAAAAAGAACTTAGGCGCCACTGTGTCCATAGTGTATTGCACTTTTTAAAAAGAACTTAGGTGCCACTGTGTCCATAGTGTATTGCACTTTTTAAAAAGAACTTAGGCGCCACTGTGTCCATAGTGTATTGCACTTTTTAAAAAGAACTTAGGCGCCACTGTGTCCATAGTGTATTGCACTTTTTAAAAAGAACTTAGGTGCCACTGTGTCCATAGTGTATTGCACTTTTTAAAAAGAACTTAGGTGCCACTGTGTCCATAGTGTATTGCACTTTTTAAAAAGAACTTAGGTGCCACTGTGTCCATAGTGTATTGCACTTTTTAAAAAGAACTTAGGCGCCACTGTGTCCATAGTGTATTGCACTTTTTAAAAAGAACTTAGGTGCCACTGTGTCCATAGTGTATTGCACTTTTTAAAAAGAACTTAGGTGCCACTGTGTCCATAGTGTATTGCACTTTTTAAAAAGAACTTAGGTGCCACTGTGTCCATAGTGTATTGCACTTTTTAAAAAGAACTTAGGTGCCACTGTGTCCATAGTGTATTGCACTTTTTAAAAAGAACTTAGGCGCCACTGTGTCCATAGTGTATTGCACTTTTTAAAAAGAACTTAGGTGCCACTGTGTCCATAGTGTATTGCACTTTTTAAAAAGAACTTAGGTGCCACTGTGTCCATAGTGTATTGCACTTTTTAAAAAGAACTTAGGTGCCACTGTGTCCATAGTGTATTGCACTTTTTAAAAAGAACTTAGGTGCCACTGTGTCCATAGTGTATTGCACTTTTTAAAAAGAACTTAGGTGCCACTGTGTCCATAGTGTATTGCACTTTTTAAAAAGAACTTAGGTGCCACTGTGTCCATAGTGTATTGCACTTTTTAAAAAGAACTTAGGTGCCACTGTGTCCATAGTGTATTGCACTTTTTAAAAAGAACTTAGGTGCCACTGTGTCCATAGTGTATTGCACTTTTTAAAAAGAACTTAGGCGCCACTGTGTCCATAGTGTATTGCACTTTTTAAAAAGAACTTAGGTGCCACTGTGTCCATAGTGTATTGCACTTTTTAAAAAGAACTTAGGTGCCACTGTGTCCATAGTGTATTGCACTTTTTAAAAAGAACTTAGGCGCCACTGTGTCCATAGTGTATTGCACTTTTTAAAAAGAACTTAGGTGCCACTGTGTCCATAGTGTATTGCACTTTTTAAAAAGAACTTAGGCGCCACTGTGTCCATAGTGTATTGCACTTTTTAAAAAGAACTTAGGTGCCACTGTGTCCATAGTGTATTGCACTTTTTAAAAAGAACTTAGGCGCCACTGTGTCCATAGTGTATTGCACTTTTTAAAAAGAACTTAGGTGCCACTGTGTCCATAGTGTATTGCACTTTTTAAAAAGAACTTAGGTGCCACTGTGTCCATAGTGTATTGCTCTTTTTAAAAAGAACTTAGGTGCCACTGTGTCCATAGTGTATTGCACTTTTTAAAAAGAACTTAGGCGCCACTGTGTCCATAGTGTATTGCACTTTTTAAAAAGAACTTAGGTGCCACTGTGTCCATAGTGTATTGCACTTTTTAAAAAGAACTTAGGCGCCACTGTGTCCATAGTGTATTGCACTTTTTAAAAAGAACTTAGGTGCCACTGTGTCCATAGTGTATTGCACTTTTTAAAAAGAACTTAGGTGCCACTGTGTCCATAGTGTATTGCACTTTTTAAAAAGAACTTAGGCGCCACTGTGTCCATAGTGTATTGCACTTTTTAAAAAGAACTTAGGTGCCACTGTGTCCATAGTGTATTGCACTTTTTAAAAAGAACTTAGGCGCCACTGTGTCCATAGTGTATTGCACTTTTTAAAAAGAACTTAGGCGCCACTGTGTCCATAGTGTATTGCACTTTTTAAAAAGAACTTAGGTGCCACTGTGTCCATAGTGTATTGCACTTTTTAAAAAGAACTTAGGTGCCACTGTGTCCATAGTGTATTGCACTTTTTAAAAAGAACTTAGGTGCCACTGTGTCCATAGTGTATTGCACTTTTTAAAAAGAACTTAGGCGCCACTGTGTCCATAGTGTATTGCACTTTTTAAAAAGAACTTAGGTGCCACTGTGTCCATAGTGTATTGCACTTTTTAAAAAGAACTTAGGTGCCACTGTGTCCATAGTGTATTGCACTTTTTAAAAAGAACTTAGGTGCCACTGTGTCCATAGTGTATTGCACTTTTTAAAAAGAACTTAGGTGCCACTGTGTCCATAGTGTATTGCACTTTTTAAAAAGAACTTAGGCGCCACTGTGTCCATAGTGTATTGCACTTTTTAAAAAGAACTTAGGTGCCACTGTGTCCATAGTGTATTGCACTTTTTAAAAAGAACTTAGGTGCCACTGTGTCCATAGTGTATTGCACTTTTTAAAAAGAACTTAGGTGCCACTGTGTCCATAGTGTATTGCACTTTTTAAAAAGAACTTAGGTGCCACTGTGTCCATAGTGTATTGCACTTTTTAAAAAGAACTTAGGTGCCACTGTGTCCATAGTGTATTGCACTTTTTAAAAAGAACTTAGGTGCCACTGTGTCCATAGTGTATTGCACTTTTTAAAAAGAACTTAGGCGCCACTGTGCTCACATGGGAGCTCTGGGTTACTCATAAAGTTACACTTTATCCCTATTCTTAGTGGAATTTAAGTCAACATAGATGAACTTAAATGCTACTTGATAATTTCTTGTTACATTAACTTTATTTTTCAGACTGTTCTCTTCCCTGGCTGTTGCTTTATTTGCCAAACCTTACTGACTTTTACTGTTAAGCAGGTTTGTTCCTTCCTCCGTTTTAGAATTTTCCAGGAATGAGTTAGACAGGTGTCATTAAATAACTATGATGCATTAGCAGTTGCAAGTGTGAAACCCTCAGATCCGGTTCATCATATTTCAAATTTAGCTTATAACTCAATGCGAAATTTAAAAAATCACATGCTCAAAAGCTTGTCTCTCAAAATCTTGCAAGCAGGGTACTTATCTGTCAGTTTAACACAGTATATGAAATTTCATCAACCTAATAAAAAAGATTCACACGCTCAATGGTAAGGTAGGAAAACTAGGTTTTTTAAAATCAGAATTGTATAGAAGGTCACGATTTGTCAAAATCTTGACTCTGGATTTTGTTCACAAGTCTTACCTTTCATTTCCACATTAGGGCCAGATGGTGGATTACCAAGAAAGGGATTTGTCTCTGATGCTTTCTCTTTTTCTGGACCTGATCCACTACTGATAGAATCTGCCTGCTCATTTAAAAGAAAAATAAATTGTGTTAAATTCTTTATCCTCATCATGTATCAAAATAGGGTTGTTTCATTTGAAATATCACAGTAACTAAATGACTGGTTACGTCTGATTGGTTGTTATACTATACAATTTCCCTGTAACCCTGCATGAAAGCAAGTGTGGATGTAGGTGATGTTAAACAACTTACATCTTGATCCAGCTTAGACTTGTCCAACACAACATCAGGGACTTTGCCCTTCTTAAAGTTGAGCAAAGTCTCCATTTTACTTTTATCTGCCAACTGAGAGCCTCTGCTTGTGTGGGATGTTCGACTATGATTTGATGCAAAACTACTTCGACGACTTCCTGTCTGTCTACCTGAATCTGGAGCTCCACTTTTTTTCTGTGAAGCAAAGCTGAATCTGCGGCCATTGGGCATATTCCTAACAAATGAAAAGTTGCATAGATCTTCTGATGATGGAGTTACAGCACCTGAATCATCAGCAAATGGAAGTGGAAGATTTTCTAATGTGTGATGGACCAGTGGCTGGCGGTCAGTGTAGTGCCCTCCCCTTTTGGCTGAGCTGACTGGCTTCCTCCAGCTGTATTGGCTTCCCTTACTGTTACGTCGATTGATATAGGGCGAACCTGGCAGGCTAAGGCTGTGCTAAAATAGCAAGACAGAATGGACATTCAACTTACATTAGAAACATAATGATACATTAGAATCATAACTATAGACACACTTTAGATCAGTTAGCATAGGGATTTCAGAGGGCAAGACAAGGACAGGTGGGTACTGGTCACACATTGACGTACCCGTTTCTGATTGAGAAGACTTGGTTTGAGATGGGCACTGGTCATAGATTGGTCACTTGTTACTGACAACCTTTCTTTTTCATCCAATTTTTCTACCATATCCTTATCTCCCCCTTCAAATTCGTTGTATGAGGAGTTGCTGTTACTTTTTGTGATACTCAGAGCTTCTTTGCGGGCTTCTTCTTCCTTTAAATTAAACATTAAATACATTAAATATATATATAGATATAATTATATACACACACACATATATATATGTGTATTTATATGTGTGCAATGAGCACTATTTGAATCAATGGTCCATCTGCACCACGGGTCACATCTAGCACCCCTGCAGTAATGTAACCGGTGGTTTTCAATACACATGTTATATACATATATAAACAAATGTATGTATCTCTTTTATGCATTATTTCATTTATCTGATCAGTATGAAACTTTGGAACGTTGTTTAGTACACTCCTGTCAACTTTTTGGGATAATTTTTTGAATATCGGAGGGGCCAGCGGTAGTGTGCAGCTGGGCTACCTTAGCAACTGAGATCTGCTGCATTAGGCATCCTGCATGGATGGTAAAGTCTACTACTTTAATTAAATGTCAAACTTCTCTAGAGGCACCTACATCCCCCCCCCCATCCCCCACTACACTAGGGATACAGTGGGCTACTACAATCAATGACTTAACCAAACCAGGGGTGGCGTCCAAACATGCCTACCCCTGGCGAACAAAAGTAGGAACCATCATACCAAAAAAGAGGAATTTGAAGCAAAAAAGTTGAACATACACTCTGATGTTACTTTGATATGCCAAAAATAAATTAAAAACAAGTCTTAAGACAAGGCATAAGTTTTATATAGCTAGTCTCTAACTAAGCCTAAATACTGCTTAATGTCAACTTACATTTAAAAAAAAAACGTAGGCTAACCGGTAACCTGAGACACCCCCCCCCCACCAAAAAAAAAGCCAGAAATTTAACACTTAAGCATAATATTGATTTGATTTAATTAACTTTAGTTAAAACATTTTAGATGATTCCTACCTTGCTATGTAGGAGGCAATATGAACAACAATTGTTAAAACGCATGTAATTGTTAAGATACCTAGTTAGATAGATAGACCTAGAAAGTCTAGATCTAGAAATTAGTGCGTCACTCATGAATTTATGGTACTTTTCTCCATACATTTTATACAATGCATAGTTTAAATTTACAAATACCAAAAAGAATATTTGAGAATAATTTCAGAAATATCGTATTCATTTTAAAAAGACTCCTAATCTGAGCTTCTTACATATTTTAGGTAAACAAGGAAAGGTAAATAATCGCTTTTCCAGCTCAATTTTTTCCAATGGGATTTATTTGGTTTTTTAAAAATAATTTTATATGTTCAGCTATTTCATTTTGTTGGTGGAACAATTCTGCTTTTGTCGGGATGGTAGGCATGTTAGGGCATCACTAAGATAATATAGCTGGTGGCTTCAAGACCACCCTGATATCTGAGCAGTTGCCTAGGGACATTTAACCCCCCCCCCCCCCCTTGTGGAGGGAGGGTGACCAACATACACTAAAATACATACAAGAGATTGGGAAGAAATACATAATAATAAACATACCTGTCTTTCTGCAGCTTCTTCTTCTGCGTCTGCTAAATCTTGTTTCTGCTGTTCATCATAAGACATGGCTACAATAGCCAGTATCAAGTTGACCAAATAAAATGACCCAAGTAATATGACCAGCACAAAGTATAAACAATGAGGTGTCCCTTCTGCTCTGAGCACCTAGTGATAGAAGGCCATTGGCTAAAAATACATTGCAAAATACTAAAAATAAAAATAATATAAAATTGTGCAGAGTAGACAAAGAAAAAAAAAGAAATCTATATAGCCCTAAAATAGCCCCACTGAGGTCATACCAAGTGGTACAAGCTTTCCCAGAAATCCTGAGTCATAAGACGGAAGGCACACAACAAAGCCATTCCGAAGTTGTCAAAGCTAGTAAAGTCAAAGTTGGGGTTGGGTCCAATGTCTGGGTAACATCTGTAAATGAGGGTACCATTTTCAGTTGTCTCTGTCCCACATTGGCTGAAACAAAAACAGTTTGCAATTAATGGAACAGTCATAGCTGATTTCAGGCTGGATTTGAATCAAACTCTCAATGAACATGACACTCTACAGAGGTGTGGACCAAGAGTGATGTACTTGAAAGCTTATACAATCCATGTCGTTTAACAAGTGCAGTTGAAAATAAAGACTAATGAGGATCAAATGTTGAGATCCTCAGTGTCATTAGCAATGTTGTTGGCATCATTTTACACAGCATTGTTGTAAGCTTTGTTTATCACAGTATAGCATTTGGGCATTCGTCCCATTCTGCCAAGTGCCCATTTTGTGGAAGAGCCACTGTCGTCTATCACTGTATAGGATTTGTACCTTTGTAGAGAAGGTGTAAAAAGGCCATTACACATACTCCTCTGTAAAAATCCACTTCTTGAAACTACCTATTAGGCATGATACTGATCAAGTGAAAAAACTTCATTTTATAAAAAAAAAGCATTCTACATAATGATTGGACTGACATTAAATTGTGTGTTATATCAAGGCATTCTATAATAAACAAAACAGGGAAACCAACAAAGTACACAATTATTCCACCCAGAAGATTTACAAACCAAATCAATTAGTACTTGACAGGGGGTAATGTCAGACAGCAATATTTGGCCGGGGGGGGGGGGGGGTGTTTTTAATTGTACGCTCCATGCTGTAAATTAAAAGCAGAGTTCAATTATATTCTAGATCTATACACACACATTGTAGCTTACCCTAACCCTAGATCTATACACACACATTGTAGCTTACCCTAACCCTAGATCTATACACACACATTGTAGCTTACCCTAACCCTAGATCTATACACACACATTGTAGCTTACCCTAACCCTAGATCTATACACACACATTGTAGCTTACCCTAACCCTAGATCTATACACACACATTGTAGCTTACCCTAACCCTAGATCTATACACACACATTGTAGCTTACCCTAACCCTAGATCTATACACACACATTGTAGCTTACCCTAACCCTAGATCTATACACACACATTGTAGCTTACCCTAACCCTAGATCTATACACACACATTGTAGCTTACCCTAACCCTAGATCTATACACACACATTGTAGCTTACCCTAACCCTAGATCTATACACACACATTGTAGCTTACCCTAACCCTAGATCTATACACACACATTGTAACTTACCCTAACCCTAGATCTATACACACACATTGTAACTTACCCTAACCCTAGATCTATACACACACATTGTAGCTTACCCTAACCCTAGATCTATACACACACATTGTAGCTTACCCTAACCCTAGATCTATACACACACATTGTAGCTTACCCTAACCCTAGATCTATACACACACATTGTAGCTTACCCTAACCCTAGATCTATACACACACATTGTAGCTTACCCTAACCCTAGATCTATACACACACATTGTAGCTTACCCTAACCCTAGATCTATACACACACATTGTAGCTTACCCTAACCCTAGATCTATACACACACATTGTAGCTTACCCTAACCCTAGACCTATACACACACATTGTAGCTTACCCTAACCCTAGATCTATACACACACATTGTAGCTTACCCTAACCCTAGATCTATACACACACATTGTAACTTACCCTAACCCTAGATCTATACACACACATTGTAGCTTACCCTAACCCTAGATCTATACACACACATTGTAGCTTACCCTAACCCTAGATCTATACACACACATTGTAGCTTACCCTAACCCTAGATCTATACACACACATTGTAACTTACCCTAACCCTAGATCTATACACACACATTGTAGCTTACCCTAACCCTAGATCTATACACACACATTGTAGCTTACCCTAACCCTAGATCTATACACACACATTGTAGCTTACCCTAACCCTAGATCTATACACACACATTGTAGCTTACCCTAACCCTAGATCTATACACACACATTGTAGCTTACCCTAACCCTAGATCTATACACACACATTGTAGCTTACCCAGAATTTGAGCCATTGTTACACACCATTACTTGGTCAAAATCATCTTTTTTCCAATTCTCTAAATTAGAAAAGAAAATATTTTCATTTTATAAGCAAACACAACTGCTGTATTCTAAAAAATATGTTGTTAGAAAAATGCTAAACATCTGTGTGTATACACAGATAGATATGTTTTTTTAGTATATTAGTAAATGAATAAACAAATGTAGGCCCTGTTAGATCATGCAACCAAATCAAATTAGGCCTACATCATTATTTTGTGTGAAAACTTAAGATGAGTACATTGGATTCTTAAATAATAGCGCTTGTACAATGTGCTTGCATGGTCTTGTCTCAGCATGGCCATGAGAAACTGGTGAGAGTGGTGTGTGGTATGGAGTCATATCATAATAGTGGTTGTGTGGTATGGAGTCATATCATAATAGTGGTTGTGTGGAATGGAGTCATATCATAATAGTGGTTGTGTGGTATGGAGTCATATCATAATAGTGGTTGTGTGATATGGAGTCATATCATAATAGTGTTTGTGTGGTATGGAGTCATATCATAATAGTGGTTGTGTGGTATGGAGTCATATCATAATAGATGGATATGAAAAGTGAACACCTAACTGCTGAGTCAAGTAAAAAGACGAGTCATTATGTACTCGTCCTAGGCTGTGTGCCAGACCAACAGTTAAAAACACTCACCTTCATCATTGACAAACAGCCACCATTCTTCATCTGTGACATTTCTTCCATAGTGTGCAATGGGATCTTTAATGCACTTCTGACGTAGTGCTCCTGAATAGAGCTGCATGCCAATGAGTGCAAAGATGGAGAGTACAAACACAGTGAGTATCATGACATCTCTAAGCCGTCTGACTGCCTCCAACAAGGCACCTACGATTGTCTTCAAACCTGAAAGTTCAATGAACAATTGCAAGGCCAAATACACTCACTTCAACTTTAAAGGAAAATACTTAGCCTACTTTCCTTTTTTGAGACAAGTTGGTGGACTTAGGGATCTAGTCAGAGGATCAAACTCACCACTAGTGGGTTTTCAATTGTATGCTCTATCCATCACACTGAGCAAGCTACTGATCAAGTTAACTTAGTGGAACTCTTGTAGTTTAATGAACAAAGGGAAATCAACATGTTTTTTAACTAGTCACGTCTGTAATACCTTACCTGGGATGACTGAAATTGTCTTGAGGGCCCGCAAAACACGAAATGTTCTGAGTGCTGACAAGTTTCCCAAAGATTTGATTGCCAGCGTCATGTAGCTGAAGTAGCACAAACAGGCTCAATTATTTGCCAAGCATTTTACACCATTATGAAATACAATGGAAACTAAATACTAATGTTAAACTGAAAAAATAGTTGAATTCAAGAGCTATGATTACTATGAATTTTCTGGTAAAGATCTTTGACACTGTTTCTATCCTCAAGAAAAATAATTTTTGAATAGTTCTGCACTTAGGGCTTGTGCATGTCAAATAATAACACAAAATGAAGATATTTAACCGACCCTATATTACATATAATAATATAATTTCCATAAATGCCTTCCTATTATATAACACTTCTAAGACAAACTTTCCACCAGAACTCTTTCTTCAAGCTCACAACTTGCTTACGCAATAGAAATGACAAAAAAGTCCAGCCAATTCCAGGGATCCCGGAGGTATGTGAATGGTTTGAGAACAAAACCTCTGGACAACGTCTTGATAAAAGCCTCCAAAGTATAAATTCCCAGGAAGACATGTCTGTAATAAATGGTACAAATTTCAGCATTACATAACTCTAGAAGTGCAACTAGTTAAATCTAAATATTTCTTACAAATATTTTTTACCAGTTTGCCAAGGGTTTTATTATTTTTTTTAGAAGTTTTTGAGAAGTATTACAAAATAAAAACAATTACCTAAAAGTTTAAGCAACCTGAATTGTTATGGTTTTTTAAGTATATAAAAACCACCGACTTTTGACTTTTTCTATTAAGCGCAAAAAGCATTTGAGTTGATTATGTATAATTTAATGTGGTTTTTCTTGCCAACAACACAAATATTTGATACATTATTTTATTTTGTAACAAAATGAAATTAGAAGCCGGCATGGCAAACTTGTAAAAAAAACAAGTTTTTTTTGCTTGAGTAAATCATTGAACTGTCTTGTGATTATCAGAGCACAATTTTCTACAATCTTTCATGTGTAGCAGTTTGTAAATATTAGGATATTTCTAAAGACTGTCATATCCTATCATGTTTGTAAATTTTAGTCTACTAAAAATTAGAACTACTATTTATTTGGTTTTAATTTTATATTTTTAAAACAGCCATATTAATAAGTGACAGAGTATCAACTATAACTGATAAAGATATAAATACTTTCAAATGTTGTATAAGAATATTAGTATTGGGGAGGGGGGGGGGGGGGTTCAATTAACAGATCAATATACTCAATGATGAAGATAAGCATCATAGTAACTTACGATATAAATTTAGCATCGAAATAGTTAATGTAGGTTATTAGACAACCTTGAGTACATTGTTACTGCTCTAACCAATAGTAAAGTAACATCGGCAATATCTGAGATTCTTGTATATGGGTATGGCCATGGTATATGGAAAACAATGCTACATATCTTAAATAGCTATAGATGTACATTTTTTTAAAATTGATCATTTAGCAGCCTACCTAACTAAAACAATTGAAGATTAGCCTATATACTAGCACTAGACTAATATCTATACTAACTATTCATTAGACATAGTATATAAAATAATTAAAAGCAACAAGATCTTAAAATAAAAATATTAATATAGGCCTAAGTATAAGCCTAATAGATCTATTTTTATAAATGGATCACAACAAATAAAAAAAAAGACTAAAATCACATGCAGAAAAAAAAATTAAAATTGCAAAAGTAACATGAAACTCAAACCATGAAATTGGGCAATCGTCAACAGATAAGAGGATAATTAGGCCTAATTAATTATTTTAAAATCTAATAGGCTAGATCAAATTCATTCACATATCAGCAAAGTTTTATTTTAAATTTAATGAAGCTTGAATAATTTATAATAATAAATAATATAGACTATAGATCTATCTATTATAGATTGAAGACAACTCTTGGCTGAGAAATGCAGTTACATTTTTAAAAAATGATTGCTGAATTACTAATTCAGAATTAGCCTAGAATTTAGATCTTTATTAAAAAAGAAAGAACCTGCAAACATTAAGAGAGTGAGAGTTTTCTTTAACTTAAAAAGAAAAAAAAAACTAGATCTAGATCTATATCTAGTATTATCTAGATCTACTAGATTATCTTTAGACTTTAACGGCTAACGCGCCCTAGATTATAGATAATAAATAAACAATGTTGTTTAGGCCCCTAATTAAATATTAATAGATCTAGAATAGATCTAGTTTAGATCTATTGTCACTAGATAGATTCTATATATATTTAATATTATACTATACTATAGTTAACTATAGTATAGATCTAGAATCTATAAATAAACTATAAAATATATAATATAAATAATATAATTGATTTATTATATTAATTAAATTAATAAATATTAGTAAAAAAAATGGGTAATCTATCGTTTTATGGGCAACGTGCTAACAACGCTGTCAGTGCCAACCTAACCTTGATCTAGATCTATATTTCTAGACCTAACGCTTTTTAAATCTAGATCTAGATCTAGATCTAGATCTAGGTTTGTTATGATATTTTTGGTGTTTTGAAAATTGGCAGCCAAGTTACTTTTGCAAGATATGAAAATGATAGATAGTTCAAAATTATTCAAAGTTCACAACTACATGCGCATGCGTACATTGAAAAAGCAGATGGGAATGCAGATATAAAATAAATGTTTATTTTAAAAAATTAAAATTGAGATCTTATATTATTATAGATCTATATTCTCTTGTCAAGCTGTGGGCAATAAATAAAAAAATATTATTAATATAATATTAATATAAAGTTAATTCCCTTAAGGAAATAAATGCTCTGCATTATTTTTTGTCCAGTTTAAAAAAATTCTAGAACTAGGCCTAAACTTTGTGTACAAATACATTCATATGATTGATTCATGATATTCTAGATCTAGATATCAAGTTATTAATTTTAAGTAAAGCAGCAGATGTCAAAACTCCAAACGAAGGCCATTTAAAATTTAATGCAATTTTTTAATGTATCATCTGATCTATGTAGGCCTATTATTTAGATAAATATTATAAATAAAGTGAGTATTTTCTGAAATGACTCTAAATCCTATATCTAAGATCTAGACTAGGAGTATATATGGTTGTTAGTAACTTGTTAGGGGTCCTATTTAGTATTTAGCCAATTTTTTAAAAATTTAGGCTAGATCTAGTCTAGATCTAGATTAAATCTAGATGTAGAGTGTAGAATCTAGATCTAGAAGATCTAGATCTAGATCTATACCAAAAAAATGTGAGCGGCGTTTTGGGCAGTAACTAAAAATTTCTAGATCTAGATTAGATAATGACTAGATCTAGTATATAAGTATATCATTAGAAGTAATAGTAAGGCCTGCAACAAATGAATAACTTTTAAAAATTAAAGGTCTGTTGTTGGGTGTAATGTCTAAAAATAAGGAGGCGACACACAATGAATGGCCTCAAGGCACAAACTACTAGATCTAATGGTCTATGGACTATAGACTATGTCTGGCAAGATTTGTTCTAACCATTACGGGACAGTTGTTAAGCATCATATAAGACCGATAACACGACACATACAAAACACTAGCGGCCAGACAACATAAAACAAAGGGTTTCTGGTGAACGCTGTTCTACACTGGTTTATTTACATTGGTTTACATGAAACATGATACTTAACAATAATATCAAGGTTAAAACTAACATGAAAGTTAAGAGACTGTTGAATAAGTGAACAAACTTATCGAGTACTTTGTGAGGTATCTGACTGTGGACGTGTGCAATAGATTCGTTTGGGCATTCTTGTGTTTCTTGTGTGATTGACTATTTGAGTGAAACGTTTAGAATCTATGGCAGCAAGCAAAAGGAGGGAAACAGGCAGCAAGCAAGGGTCAGAGTTTGGACGAAACGAAGATGTTTGTTGCGCAAGTGTGTAGTTGGTCAGTGCCTTGACATCATTTAATTATTTAACTATTTAACACTGCAGACACCTCCATCTTGACTCAATCCCATTCTTCTAACAGTCACTGTGAAATGTACTGGAAATTGTCCCTCTAATTGACCAACTCCCTCCCTTTGATTAACCAACTCCCTCCCTCTAAATCACCAACTCCCTTCCTCTAATTGACCAACTCCCTCTAATTGACCAACTCCCTCCCTCTAATTGACCAACTCCCTCTAATTGACCAACTCCCTCCCTCTAATTGACCAACTCCCTCCCTCTAATTGACCAACTCCCTCCCTCTATTTGACCAACACACTCCTGTGAACAAACGAGACATTTATGAGACATGAAGTATCTATGGGCAACATTCCGGTCACGTGATACTAGGTAGAAATCACGTGATGACGTTTAAAAGGCAAGGGCACGTGCTTGTTGACGTCATATAACTCCCATGTGGGTGCAGACACTACACAGTGGGAGGCCCCCACTTTCCACTAACAGCAGCATCCGTTGTTTTGTTTTTTTTACTTTTCAAAAATAATTCCATAACTGTCCAGAATCTGTTTGTCCAGACCGCAAGTAGACAAATACCAGTAAAGTTGACATACATAAAATGATTTCGATTAATGAGAAGTCTTTCAATGGTGTGCTAAAATGTAGGATTCCTAATCGTTGGATACTGCTGTTAGTGGTACGCCGACAACAAACAAACAAGCGTGACGTCACAGGAAGAGGAAATGACGCCGTACTTACTCAACATATTCCGGCGGTTGTTCAGAGCGAGCCATAAAGACACAATTGGTGATGATGGTGATCATAACAGTTAAACTAAACAAAGTAGGCCGTTAAGGAAAAAATTGGGTCAACTTTGCTAGGTCAACTTGTCTTGTTGATTGAAGTGGGTCTGATGTAGATTGCTTCAATTTTTTTTGGGGGGGGGGGAGGGGGGAAGAGATGGCCACAAGCTGAGAGGCCAAAAATTGCCACTGTGATGAGTGGAACATGCTATTGTATACAAGGTCAAAAGTAAAGTTAGTCCAAAGTAGCCAGTCCACATTGAGACATGAAGGTCGCAACATAAAGGTTGAGCCATGAAGGTCGAAACAGAAAAATGGGTCGAGATGTCTGAAATAAAGTTGTACACATGTTTGGTCAGTAGAGTTATTGGGGAGGGGGGGGGGGGGATACATGTGAACACATTGTGTTATTTTTGTAAGTATAGCTAATAATAACTTTGATATCTTGTATTTTAAAATGTTGGATTGAAATATGTACACTTTCGGACAGTAAAAATAGTTGGATGGAAGTGTGTGGACTTAATAATTGTAAAAAAAAAGTGGATCGGTAACTCCAGCACAATTTATTTAAAGTGCCTTAGTGCGGCGCAGTCGCCGCATTCAAATAGTCATTTTCGAGTTTATATCACTCTAAAGTCTTCTTTTCATTTTTAAAACCAACTACATCTTCATTTGTATGCACATTTTGGTACTTGTTGATACTTTTGTTGAACAAAAAAGGTAAATGAGGTGATTGGTTAAAAAGTCAAAAGAAAATGAACCAAATGGACTCAACTGTGTTTAGTTTGATAATTAAAACAACACCAAATAACATAATTGAAATATCAAGGACAATATTGAAAGTAAAAATATTGCTGTCAACAGCAGACATCACAAGACAACACAAATAAGTTTTGTAAAGCTGATCAATGATTATTGTAAAGCAAGTTTTTAGCTGGAAGCAATTTACAACATCGGTTGAGACAAAAAAAGTTTGAAAGAAATTTTAAAAGTAAAGAATTAAAAACAAAGAGTTTATGAAAAGTTGCATTTATTTAACCATAATATTATAACTGATTATAATATCAAAAGCTGGAGAGCCAAGACAAAGGCAGCGTCCTAGTGGGTTACCTACCCCTGCCTGGTAGGGTCCCAGTGGGTTACCTACCCCTGCCTGGTAGGGTCCCAGTGGGTTACCTACCCTTGACTGGTAGGGTCCCAGTGGGTTACCTACCCTTGACTGGTAGGGTCCCAGTGGGTTACCTACCCTTGCCTGGTAGGGTCCCAGTGGGTTACCTACCCTTGCCTTGGCTGGCGACGCTTCCTCTGGTCGAGTTGATCAGTGAATGACAAATTTGGAGGAGTTGAAGCTATTGTTAAGCGGACGAGTTAGGACGAAAATACAAATGCAAGCCCAAGGAGAAAGAAAATGAGAGAAAGCCAAACTGGCCGCGGAAGTACTTACTCCACTTCAGGCGGGGGTTGCCAGAACGTAATGGCCATAAACGCGCAGTTTACTATAATGGTCAGCATGACGATAAGACTAAAAATTGTGGCCAAATGTTAAGAGAAATACTAGCAATGTTTCCATGAGTGTGAGGAGACGTAGACCAGAGTAAACAAACAATGAGACAAGAAAACACCAATCTGATCAGGTACAAGCATGCATTAAGCTGTTACAACTAGCACGACCACTTGTACTGACCACAAGACAATCGTCAGTTGCTGATTTTGTCACGTGGTTCCGGTAGTGCGTCAGGTTTAGTTCAGTGATGTTTTAATTACATTCTACAATTTTCAACAGTGAGAGCAAACCTTATTTAGACATGCATGTCATTAAAATAAAGTTTTTTTCCCCCACCAGATGAAACATCTACCGGTAGAAAAACACAAGTGGCGGCTACAGACTGGGTAAGTTATGCACTTTTGTTACTAATTATAGAATATATTTTTATAATAAATACATATGTCCCACTAATAGTATTTTAATCAAAAGTGTGTAACATTATTTTAATATGTAGACTTTAAAGGCTACACTACACATCATTTTTGTATTCAGCCACATCCCCTCCCTCTTCCCCCCTCCTCTTCCCAACGGCTATCTAAAATTACGTCGATCTTTGCTTTTGTGATATTCCCTCGTAAAATACAAGTTGAGACCTTAAAAGAACGCTATTTACTTCCTGAAGTAACCAGGACCGTCCTTTGATTTCCCCCCCCCCCCCCCCAATCATTGATTCGACTCTTGAGTGTCGGCAATATGTCTGGTCACACCTGCTCACGGCGGAGATCTTGATCCAAACGTAAGGCTGCACCAGTTAGGCCAATCCCGATCTTTAACGTCAAGGGAGGGGGGAGGCTAGTGGGGCATTTAACAAGTAGTTAACAAAGCAGTCTTGTCATAGTTTATTCCGTACTAAATGCTGCCTCTACCGTTACATCTAAATCTGACATGCTGTTGTTGTCATGGTGACGAGGAGCAATGGCGCAGGCAGTGGGTGTTACAGGTGTTACACCCTGAAAACTGTCTCATGTCAAGGTACCGATGTGGTCAGATACTGCCATGCTTGTGTCGCTCTCAACTGCACAATTTTCAATATAATAAAATAATTTTCTCTCTCTTAAAATAGCTATTAAAAATTTATATATATATATATATATATATATATATATATATATATATATATATATATATATATATATATATATATATATATATATATATATATATATATATATATATATATATATATATATATATATATATATATATATATATATATATATATATATATCTGTGTGTGTGTGTGTGGAGACCCCACCACCCCAATAGAGCAATCCCGCCTGGGCCACAGAAGGGAAGTGAGAAACAACGGGGTGTCCGAGTTATAAATAGCACCATTTGAGCAAGGATATGGATGTACAAGTATGTAAATGGCCACCCGTCGAATAGGGTTGAAGGGAGACAACAAGAATATTGCATTGGTTGCGCTGAATCGGAAGATTGTCTTATCTTTGTTGAGTACGACAAATGTCTGGGGAGAGAAAAAAAGTCGTTCGTTGAAGTTGTTTGTTCTAACTGTCCACTGGGACAGACACTCACGTGGTCATGTGGTCCAGGCACTCACCTTCTGATTGTGGTAAAACTCATCCAAGTCTTCTAAAGGTTTTCCGATGTACTCTCGAGGGTAGTCTTCCAAAGATGGCGGCAACTTCCGGCCAGCCTCCAACTTTGGGTTGGGTTTGAGGTTTTCCTCGCGGTGGCTGGGTTCATCTTCATCGTCCTCATCATCTGACTGTGGTTGTGTTTTCTCGGCATGCTGAGGTGGGCAATAGGTCGAAACAGATGGGTACAGTACCAAAAAAAAAAAGTTGTGCTCTTGACGTAAATTGACAAGCCTAAAATTATCAATCAATTGCATCTGTGCTGTTCTTGTATTTCTTACTGTCTTTTTGAGGTAGTCCTAACATACAGTCACTTATCACTTTGCTACTAATGAGTCATAGGCGCTAGACCTGGACCGTAAGCACCGAGTTGGATAGTAGCAAAGCCTTTCTCAATTGGTATGATGTCGCAAGCAGTTCATTGAGCACAAACACAGTTTATATACAATATAGTTAAATCAATTGAGTTAAATCGCGCACTAATGTCGTGCGAACAAAAACCGATTGTTTTTCTTGAATCATTCCATGGATGCTGAGTTTTTTCGGCATGATAAGCTGTTATTGTCGAATGTCGGTTATAACATTACGATAGAGTCAGAGAATAAAGTATTTCTCACTTAGAAATGTTATCACAACTTTATTTCTTTTTCTCACTGCGTGTCTTTTTTCTCTCCGCTACAACAACTATTGATTGCCACTTGGCTACTCAAGGACAGGTATCACCCCAATTAATCACACAAAAAACAACACATTTTTACAAGCTTTTATTTAGATTTCTAGTTCAAAACGTTTGTTTGTGGGTTTGTGGCGAATCTTGTAGCTCAATTTTGACCAGAGTTTCTTCCAGGCATCTCTTCGGGGGGGCAACCCCCCGAAAATTTTTTACCGCCCCCCCCCGAACGAAATGAAATTTATATAATTTATATAGAAAATATATACTTTTAACAGTGTCCGCCCCCCCCGAAGAAAGTTTACCGCCCCCCCGAAAATTTCAAGTGCCCCCCCGGAGAAAAAAGTCTGGAAGAAACACTGATTTTGACCTACATCTAATGCAGTGATTTCGTTCAAACTTCCCAGATACGTTAAAATTCGATGACAATACAAGTCTATCTATTTTTTAATTTAATTAGATGTTTATTTAGTCATTAAAATTGTTTAAACGGTTTTGAAGCTAAAGGAAGATAACAAAATTAAATCACTCGATAGATTACTATATTCAATAACACCAGTCTGGTGAGCTGTGGTTCACGAGAATGTTTAAAATCGTAGAGCCGGTCTATCTAGTGAAGGCTATTAGGGGAAGATAATAAGGTTTTTAAACTATTTTAAACTAAGGGGAGGTAACAAGAACTTGCTGTCGTCTGTAAAATATGGCCACGGACGGCTGCCTTTCAAGGAGCAGATAATCGTCTTTTAGATATCGCGAACTACTGATGGAATTTCAAGCAAATATTTTTAGTCGTTTCGACTTCATAAATTAGGAATCACTTAAAAGTAGAAAATAAAACAAATATTAAAAAAAAACACCACTTTATAGCAACAAGCTTTTAATGCACCGAAAATAAGAAATCCAATTTACTCTCTTTCATAAAAGCTTTGGTCGCTCATGAGATCAGTTACATATTTTAGCTACAAAAGCTTTTTTTTTTTAAGAAAATAGATCTATATCTTCTATCTTATATATATATATATATATATATATATATATATATATATATATATATATATAATTCTCTTCATGGGGACCATGCAGGAAAAGACGTAGACGCACGCCATTACTCCCCTGCTCTCCAGGCAAATCGCTACCACCCCCTCCCCCCCACCAATCTGATGAGCTTTGGTTCACGACGAATGTTTACAATCGTAGTATTCGTACTGCCGGGATAGTGACGGCTATAGGGCTGGTAAGTAGGTCACCAACCAGTTCTATGGCTCATGCAGGTTTTATTGAGCCGTAGAACTGGTTGGTGACCTACTTACCAGCCCTATTAGGGGCAGATAATTTAGTATTAAACGATTTGAAACGAAGGGGGGGGGGGGGTAACAATTTCTGATTGATCTTTTCTTTGTCTGTAAACGGCTGCTTTCACTGGGGGGGGGGGGGGGGGGGGGCTAGTGTTGAATTCACAAATTATGAATTGCTGATAAGCAGAAAATAAAACAACTAGATGGCTCGCATATAATTCTCTTCATGGGGACCTTGCGGGACACCACCACCAAGACGTAAGCGCGCCTAGCAGCCCCCCCCCCCCCCCTCTTCCTCTAGACAAATCCCTACCACACCCACCCACACCGGTCTGGTGAGCTGTGGTTCACGTCAAATGTTTACAATCGTAGTTACGGTTATTTACTTATTAGGGGCAGATAATTTAATTTGAAACGATTTTAAACTTAGGGGAAGTTACTAAGAGGAAGAAGAGGCTGCTTTCACGGTGGGAGTGGGTAGGGGTTGGGGGAAAGGAGGGGGGGGGGGTATCGTTCTTAACGAGCTACTGATAGTGATTTAAAGCAAATATTTTCAGTGGCAGCATTGGTAGTGTCGAATTCACAAATTATGAATTACTGAAAAGTAGAAAATAAAACAACTAAATAACATGGTACTCCGCGGGTCGGTTCGTTAGTTATATTTTCTTATTTTCAGTGCATTTAAAGCTTGTTGCTATAAGGTTTTTTTTTATATTTGTTTTTTTTTAGTTTTATTTTTTTAATATATTAATCTAAACGAACTTTTTATTTAAATCTACCAATAATTAAAAAATAATAATGCTGTAATTTTACATTTAAAAAATGTAACCATAATTGCTCAATATTGTATCCAATTAAACTTGCTTTTAATTAGCTATTAACTATTTTACTAATTATCAAATTTTAATAAATTTTTCAGTAATATAATCAGTTGAAGCTTGGCTTAAATCGTTGATTACTATTACTTTCAACATAAAACCGCGTTATTTTTAGTATATTAAATAAACTTTCTATGAGATTATACATTCTTAGCCAGTCATATGGCTGCTTTCATTTTTGCGTTTTTCTCATAACCACTTTTTTACCATCCCGTGCACGATTTTTCAAAAACTTTCAAAGCTATAAATATAAAGTTGAATTTTTTTAAAACTTTCAAAGCTATATATTGAACATTTCAAAAACTTTCAAAGCTATACAGCTGAAATTTTTCAAACTTTGACAGCTATATAGTTGAAATTTTTTCTAAATCTTTCAAAGCTACATGGCTGAAATTTTTTCTAAATCTTTCAAAGCTACATGGCTGAAATTTTTTCTAAATCTTTCAAAGCTACATGGCTGAAATTTTTTCTAAATCTTTCAAAGCTACATGGCTGAAATTTTTTCTAAATCTTTCAAAGCTACACGGCTGAAATTTTTTCTAAATCTTTCAAAGCTACACGGCTGAAATTTTTTCTAAATCTTTCAAAGCTACACGGCTGAAATTTTTTCTAAATCTTTCAAAGCTACACGGCTGAAGTTCGGTAGCCTATGTGTGTCACAATGTACTATTTAAGAAATTGTTCCTTTAGTATTCAGATATTCCAAAAAGCGTTGAAGATATTGATGTTAAGGTGAGCCCCCAACTCCTAATTTTTGCTTACATAAAAGTAATAAAAAATGATAAAATATTTCTTATCCATTAGAATCAAATCAAAGTGGAACCAAAAACACATCATTATGTTACTAATATGACTGCAACATTTCAGTTCTTTATACTTTTTATCAAAATCGTGCTAATTAATATGTTCTTTTCTAGGTCATTTCAATCTCACAATAATTTTGAACCATATTACTCTAATTTATATGCCTAGTGATGGTGTTAAATATTAGCCTCCTATGTTTATAAATAAAATTTGGCTATTGGGTTGAGTTCTATCCTTAAAAAGAGCCATGACTAAGGGGGAGCCAAGATAGAAAAGATGAGCCACGGAGCCAGACTTACTTTGGCCGCCTCCTCCTCAGCGATACGACGTTCGATGTTGAATAAAGATTCTCTGGTGAACGGCCGAAATGGCGTCCATTCTACGGCTGCTTCGTCCATCTTCTGCTAGCGTCCACCCATACGTGCCCTGACAAAAAAAACTTTTTTTTAAATTTCGTCATTCAAATATCTTTTTACTATTTTAAAATCTTTTAAGGGCCCATCCATTTATGACGTGTCGTCCCGTCGTCCCCCACCCCCCCCCCCCCCCCAGAAAAATGTAGTAAATCTCTCAAATTGTTAATTCAGTAACATTAATTGTATACCTTGCTATTGTATAAATTGCTAATTTAATATAGGAATTTAATATTTCCTGTAACATCTCTTCCTAGGCTTGAATATTAAAAGTAAAGCCGAGAAAGTGTTGAAAAAAGAAGTATATATTAAACGACTTAGTATAAATTATGTCCTAGATCTGTCTTAGTAAGCGTTTGATTTATTTAAATGTACTTTGCCATACCAAACAGAAAAATGCAAAGTATTAAACATTTGTTTTTGTATTTAATCGAATTTATTCTACACTTGTAGATGCCTTTTAATAACAATCATAACATTTGTAAGTAGTAGCCTCCTCGGGTTCACGACCTCATTTCTTGTTTTATAAAAAAAATTACTCATTGCATAAGGCGCGATCAACTTTCGCAAAGTCTGAAGTGAAAATATCTAGAAAAGTAAATGTTGGACTTTTTACTTTCTCGTATACGAAGTATAGAGGAAAAGTTGTAATCGTGCAGAAATTTCGGTCGAGATTTTCACATTGTACACCTCCCTGAGTCGAAAAAACATAGTTTAGCAATTTTGTCCGTATGTCTCCCTCCCTCTCTCCCTCTCTCTCTCTCTCTCTCTCTCTCTCTCTCTCTGTGTGTGTCTGTGTCTGTGTGTGTATCAGGGGCGTAGTGAGGGGGGGGGGGCGGGGGGTGCGGACCGCACCGGGTGACACCATTTAGGGGGGTGACACCAAGGCAAAAAATAGCAAAATATATAGAGAAAAACTCGAGGGGGGGGGGTGCAAATCGAAAGTTTGAGGGGGGGGGGGTGCAAATCGAAAATTTGAAAGTTTGTCCCTGGGAACGGTCTCTATGCCTCTGGGGGGGGGGTGACACCATTAAGTGCCGCACCGGGTGACACCCGACCTCGCTACGCCACTGGTGTGTATGCCTGTGAACATGATAACTTAAGTACCGTTACAGCTAGGTTGATGGAATTTCATATATAAGTATTACATCAAATTTGTAGTTATGTTTCAACTTTTCAGCGATTTCCTTTTAACCGGAAGTGGAATTTATGCTACTGTTTCTGATAGGTAGATGAAATTTCATACATAAGTAAAAGATCAAATTCTCTATTTTCTATCATGTTCTGAGTAATTACCGGTGATCGGAAGTAGTATTTTACGCTATTTCCGATTTCTCAAAAAACGCATATGAATTTACAAGGTACTAATGTTCGCACTATTATACACATTGTTTGCTGTTCACTTGGTGCACAATTTTTTTTCTACTAGGTTCTATAAAAATTTTTAAAGTTTAAGTATTTAAAATGGATTAAAAAGTATGTATATAACCCGCGTTGCCACCCGCTGTAGTGGTATATAAGAATATGTGGGAAAGTTTAATGGAGATCACTCATTTTCTTAGGCGGGCTTAGCATCAAATTATGAAAATTGGACATATGCCTTATATTATGTTATTGAACGTAAACCTGTCGATGAACTCCACATGAAAGGGAATATATTATAAAAAGGCCTTTTACTTTTAAGAAGATATGCACTTATAATGGCACAGGAAAAAAAAAATCACCAACATCTTGATTTTTCATCATTCTGAGTTTATAGCACATTTGGATTCTTTGTCCTTTTTTTTGTATTAAGAAAAAAACTTTAATGAGAAAAACCTACTTTTGCATAAAAACAGAAAATACGTTGTGAAGATTGTGTAGATTTTGTGATTATGTGCACTTTCAGCTTGTGATTGTTTAAATATAATTTTGTTCATGAGAATGTGTAGGTTTAAATGTAAACTTACGAGCGCTTGTAACACAGCACCTAGACGAGACATCTACTTGACAGCCATCGGTCCTGTGGGCAACAAAACATGAGGAGTCAGAAAACTTGAGACAACACGGGAGTCAGAAAACTTTTGGCAGTCAGAAAACTTAAGACAACATGGGGAGTCAGAAAACTTTTGGGAGTCAGAAAACTTTTGACAACATGGGAGTCAGAAAACTTGAGATAACTAAATATTTCTTTGCTTTCACAACGAAAGTGAACATTACTGCCTGGCCAAGATTAAGTAACGGTAACAAGATAAGACACCCTAACTAACACTTCATACACTCCCCACATTTATGCCCCTCCACATTCTCACACACTCCCCACACATTCTCCCCACCTCAAACACAAACCCACAACGACAATGACTCAAAACTCATCAAGGGGAGAATTTTATGACGTGCTACGTGTCAAACTATTATTTGGAAGACGCTGCAAGTGGCACTATCTAATTAGACGTTACCAAGTCACCAACTCACTAGGGGCACAAGGTCAATTTAGACGTCACTAGGGGCACCAGGACATTTGAGGCGTCACTAGGGGCACCAGGTCAATTTAGACGTCACTAGGGGCACCAGGACATTTGAGGCGTCACTAGAGGCACCAAATCATTAGAGGCGTCACTAGGGGCACCAGGACATTTGAGGCGTCACTAGGGGCACCAGGACATTTGAGGCGTCACTAGGGGCACCAGGTCAATTTAGACGTCACTAGGGACACAGGTCATTTGAAGCGTCACTAGGGGCACCAGGTCAATTTAGACCTCACTAGGGGCACCAGGACATTTGAGGCGTCACTAGAGGCACCAAATCATTAGAGGCGTCACTAGAGGCACCAAATCATTAGAGGCGTCACTAGGGGCACCAGGACATTTGAGGCGTCACTAGAGGCACCAAATCATTAGAGGCGTCACTAGGGGCACCAGGACATTTGAGGCGTCACTAGAGGCACCAAATCATTAGAGGCGTCACTAGGGGCACCAGGACATTTAAGGCGTCACTAGGGGCACCAAATCATTAGAGGGCGTCACTAGGGGCACCAAATCATTTGAGGCGTCACTAGGGGCACCAAATCATTAGAGGCGTCACTAGGGGCACCAGGACATTTGAGGCGTCACTAGAGGCACCAAATCATTAGAGGCGTCACTAAGGGCACCAGGACATTTGAGGCGTCACTAGAGGCACCAAATCATTAGAGGGCGTCACTAGGGGCACCAAATCATTTGAGGCGTCACTAGGGGCACCAAATCATTAGAGGCGTCACTAGGGGCACCAGGACATTTAAGGCGTCACTAGGGGCACCAAATCATTAGAGGCGTCACTAGGGGCACCAGGTCATTAGAGGCGTCACTAGGGGCCCCAGGACATTTGAAGCGTCTTTGGAGTCATCAAACTTTTCTCCGGGGCGACTGAAACTTCCGGGGGGGGGGGGGGATGGGAAAAGTAATATATTTTTTCTATATATATTCTATGAGAGGCTGAAAGAAACAATGCCAGCAAATATCACTGAGGTCAGTTCAGTGTTGTCAGTATTGTGTAAACGGTCCAATTTGACTGAACTGACATGCTACATAACCCACCTACCCAATCCACCACACCCACCTACCCAATCCATTACACCCACCACACCCACCTACCCAATCCACCACACCCACCTACCCAATCCATTACACCCACCACACCCACCTACCCAATCCATTACACCCACCACACCCACCTACCCAATCCACCACACCCATCAACCCAATCCACCACATCCACCAACTCAATCCACCACACCCACCTACCCAATCCACCACATCCACCAACCCAATCCACCACACCCACCAACCCAATCCACCACACCCACCTACCCAATCCACCACACCGGCCGCCCTTATTCAGTGCTTACTGAAACCCCCATTAGCATACGCCATTTATTAGTACAATTAATTGCCCATCGTAATAATTAGGTCAAAGCTAAGCATACGGGAAAATGTAATAATTTGTGTCGAGGAAATAATGCTGGCTGGGGCCTGCTCAAGGAACCAATTAGTCGGGTAATTAATGGCAGACTCTTATTGGTCACATCACCATAAAGAGTCGTAGTTGTTCTAGGTAGGGATGGATGGGCCTGTTTAACGCTCGGGTCAACGTTTTTTTTTTGTTTTTTTTTTTTTTGTTGAGAAAACATATAGCGGCGAAACGTTCTTAGAATATGTTTTATAAAAAATATGATAGCGAATTCTGAAGGTTTTTTTTACAAGCGGAACTATAGAGAAACACCCTTTCCGGTTATCGGAAATCGCTGAAAAGTTGATAGATACACCCCACTCTTGGACAAACTGTAAGGGGTGCCTGGAGATCTGGAGACCACCGTCCCGTTGGTCCACGACGTTCTCTGACTCCTCTAGTATTAATAAGAAGAAGAAAGTAAATGTGAAAAGTTATTTAATACTATTTCTTTATTAACGTTTTAAAAGTTATTATAACTTTTTATATTAAACATTTTAAAAATAGAATAGAATCGCCTAGAATGGAGCAGAAAAAATTGCTTCAAATAAAAAACATTGAGTGTATAAACAAGACTTTAATTAATTTTTGAGAAGTTAATTAAACATCTAATTAAGTCACATTTTGTATTCCATCGTATTGTCATCGAATCTTGATGTGCGTGTAAGGCTCGGAAGAAATCGGTCCGGTAAAAGTGGTTTAAGTTTTGCCCGCAACTTTCCACCCATGATGGACGATGGACAGAGGAATCACGTTAAATAAAAGGTTTCTGAGAAATCGGAGATAGTGTAAAATAGCCCTTCCGTTTACGGGAAATCGCGCCAAAGTTGACAGAAGTCTACGTGCAATAGCTAATACAATAGCTAATTTCGTTCACCTAACTGAAACGGCACTGAAGCTATCAGTATTTTAGAAATCAGAAATAAAGTACAATACCCGGATATTGAACACCACTTAAAAAATTAAATGTAATCAAAGTATAAGATAAAAAGCAAGTCTGACACCTCCCCCCCCCCACAACGAAATAGCACTACTGTAGTTGCTGATGTAAGGAGGCAGCACTTCTGTAGTTGCTGATGTAAGGAGGCAGCACTTCTGTAGTTGCTGATGTAAGGAGGCAGCACTTCTGTAGTTGCTGATGTAAGGAGGCAGCACTTCTGTAGTTGCTGATGTAAGGAGGCAGCACTACTGTAGTTGCTGATGTAAGGAGGCAGCACTTCTGTAGCTGCTGATGTAAGGAGGCAGCACTACTGTAGTTGCTGATGTAAGGAGGCAGCACTTCTGTAGTTGCTGATGTAAGGATGCAGCACTTCTGTAGTTGCTGATGTAAGGAGGCAGCACTTCTGTAGTTGCTGATGTAAGGATGCAGCACTATTGTAGTTGCTGATGTAAGGAGGCAGCACTTCTGTAGTTGCTATGTCGTCTATGAAGTACCCGGTGCACATAATGACGCCACACGCTAGCACGTGACACGCTAGCACGTGACACGCTAGCCACAACGTGAGATCGGACCCAGTGCTCATCAAAACTTGATCAGGTGAGTTACATGGAAATCATCAATTGAGAAAATTGATTGTTTTCTGTGTCATATACAAGTTATTCAGTTCTTTGGCTAAGGAATCGATTTCTTCCGTTTTGGCATCGATTCTTCAAGTTAGGCTGTAATCGGTTATTCCCATATACCGCTATTGTAGAACCGAGTAATCGATTATAGACCCTTCTGCAAAACATAATCGATACTTATTGTTTCCCTTGGTAGAGAATCGATTTCTTCCCCTTCGATGTTAAAGGTGAGTAATCGAAGTGTCTGAACGCGGCCAAGCTGCTACGCTTGAATAAGTTCGTTCCAGGGATCAATAGCGTGCAGTAGCGTGCAGGGCATTCATGCGCAGCTAGTGTACGTCCACTGGTCCAGCTACACGCGCACAGCACATACATTGTCCGGGTTTAGGAAATATATTACTTTTCGAATGAACCTTAATCACAACCAGCCAAAACACAAACGAAAACACATATTCCAAATGCAAACATAAACAAACACGCAAACATAAATACAAACTTAAATGTAAACATAAAAGCATATTTCTCACAGTATAGCCCGGTGCCCCAAATCGTACCGGGGCGCCGACGGAGCCATCTTATTCAACTTAGTAACTGACTATAAGACATTTTTAAAAATACTATCCGTATAATTTTTTAAATCATTCAATTAGATAAAAAATGCTGTAAGAATAATATAATATAGCGATCAAGTCGAGTTTCATTCAACTTTGTTTTTTTAAACTATATTTTACCGTTTGAGCTATAGGCCTATATATTAGAATATATATATATATATATATATATATATATATATATATATATATATATATATATATATATATATATATATATATATATATATATATATGTAATTTGTGTATACATAAACTCTTGCATATACACAGACACACGCTCTATTATCTATATAGGCCTACTACTAAAACTACTACATGTTTGATAACTTATTTTTTTGTTTGTGTGTTTGTCTGATTTCTTATTGGGGATAAATCTGCATTATGTGTAGAGCTGTAAAATAGGATTTTGGGTGCAGAACATTGTGCTTTCTTAAACACACTGTTAATTACAAACTAATTTAAAGACGTTAATTAATTTATTGATATATTCATTGGTAGATTAACCACATTAATTATAAAAGTTTAGAACAATAACTTTACTAATAGTTGAAAAGATTTATCTTCCATTTACAATTTACAACAACGTTTTCAATTATTTATTCTTAAGGCCTAGATGTGAATGATAAAGTTGACTATCAGGACCTCGCGGGGCACAGGGTAGGTGAAGTAGAGTTCATCTATTTCTATGTTCTCAGCATTATGTAGTGTGGTCAGAGCCATGCTCGGCCGGAATCGTTTTTTTTAAATACAAACATGTCTGAGACTTGGCGAGACTCTGGGCAGGGGAAGTAGAGTTTAGTAGAGTTTTTAAAACATATAAAAAACGTCTTTTTGAATGTGGGGTCTGGTTATTTTGGAA